GTCTCATAATCTGCTTGTCTTACAATTTGAAGAAGAAATCTGTTGACCGAAAATCACAATCTTCTCTGTGGAAAAATCAAGTTTGACAAATACCAGTTGCCACAGTAAGAAACAACGATGGTCACATCCCGGAACGCTATTTGTTTTTCAGATTACGGTCAACTGAACACCAAGTATGTACTCACGACACGGCAGTGAGGTAGTGCAGCAGATACCACCTCAAACTTTGTTGAGTTACTGCAAAAACTGTAATCTCACGGCTTCTACTGTCGGTATGATAGTGTATGTCAACACCACCGAGAAGAAGTGGCAATAACCACTGGCAATAAGAGCAACATTTTGTTCCTAAACAAGAGATAAGACTGTAGATGGTTATTTTTAACCACTTCTTGTTTTAGAACTAACAACATAAATAAATAAATATAGAAATAATTAATGCCTTCCAAATTTGTTATCAATTGACCTACAATTAAACAGTCAACAGTTGTGGCAGCCAAAAAGGGGAGCAGCCCGAATGACAGTTAAGAATTGTGAGGGGGGAAAAAGAAAAGCAGCAGTTGTCCAAATTTGAGTAGTCAGCATCTGTGACTCCTTTTTTTACTGCAGGTTTGTTAAATTACTCTGTAAAAGAAGTGCTTAGTTTAACATTTCTGCATCCAAAAACTGGTGAATCCCCAGCAATGAGTTACAGTTAAAGCCTGCAGTTCACATTCTATATTATTAACAGCCAGGTAACAAAAAAAAACCTACCTAATATTATTTTTGTGCAGACGTGGCTGTGCTTGAGCAGCGCCGCCGAGGAAGGCCATTAAAATATAGTTTACACTTTAAACTGTGTAAATATGGCCAGACATTTGAAAATGTCTCCCATGGGTTTTTGTTGAACTTGGAAACGGCTTCAGTGAAAGAAACATATTCTTCTCCTTCCTGCTGCATGTCGGCCATTAAAAGTCCTTTTCAAGTACCGCTGCCACCCAGCACTTCCTCCGGCAGCAGCGCGTGCACCACATGCACGCCTTCATTAACAGACTTTTCCACAATTTCAGCCTGACACCAAATCTTTCGACTCCAAAACTCCCATGTTTGCTGTGTCAACTCATTAGCACAGCATTAACGTCTGCCGTGAACTTCTTCTTCTTCTTCTTCTTCATGGCTTTTCTCACCTGCCTACAGGTATGCACTTTTCTTGTTTGTCGTTCTTATACCTGCACGCTGTACTCTGCCCTCGTGGTGAGTCAGATTGCCGTGGTTTCAAAGAGAGGACGTCTTTTTGCTGACTTTAACCAGAATTCATTTTCACCTTTGTTTCCACTGTATTAAAAACCTTGTGAAGATTATGCAAAAAAAAAAAATGCTAATTTGTAATTTGCATAATCCAGCGTCTGTGAAGCCTCCCTGCCTCGCTTCTTAATCTGACCAACGGATGTCGAGCAAACACACGATCAGCTCTCGTCTATGATTTAATTATATACTTGTTCGTACACAACAATGCATTACCTGCTCTTCCAAAACCATCACAAGATACAGTATATACAGACATGATTCTCCAGCTCTGCTTCCTACAGTCACTGTTATGTTACATCATGGGTTTGTGTTAGTCCAGTCTGTGTCCACTGCATGTCCGATTATGAAAAGTTTTCATCTCCTATTTGGAAAGCAATGGAAGACGATCAGTTCATTTGTATCAGTGGAGTTCATGGAGATCGACGCCACAGCGTTTAAATCAACTTAAATTTAGATCCGCAACGGGATATCTTTTTTTTAAAAATGTTGTGCCTTTCTGGTTGGAGAAAGCAGAAATAGTTTTCAATGTGATTTACTGAAATGAACAGTTTAGCATCTTTTGCAGAGGGACGGCAAGTATTTAGCAACGTTTAGTAAATGGTGTGGCCTCTCTATAAGAGCTCTTCTAGGGAGATGCTAAATGCTTTGTGTGCGCCTAAAAAGAAATCAGTTATCAATGAGGAACAGAAGAGTTGAATGGCAGCATATTTTAGATTTAGAATATATAACAGCAACGTTTAGTAAATGGTGTGGCCTCCCTATAAGGGTATAAGTATAAGAACTTCCCAATCCCACAAGATGCTACTTTTGAGACAATTGGTCATCTGTTTCTTTGTCTAGACTATTTATCTATCTTTGCTAAGTGGAGAGAAGCAGCGACTTCTTTTACCGATGGGCTAGAGGAGGTCCAACACTCTGCTGGAGCATGCAATTTGAGGTTTGCTTAAACTATGGTTTGAACCTTGAATGTGAACTTGTGCCTCCCATCCTGGAATGGATGGTTAAACTTTGGACAAAGGTGACAGCCCTAGTGGACACACTTGGCTAGTTCCCGTTTCTGTCCTTACATTCTTCTGTGGACACATGCCATGGTCTTGCATTTTAAATTGGAAACACCATGTAGACAGTCCTGTGGATGCCACCACAAATCTCCTAAAAAGCACTGTGTGGATCTTTAAGTATTTCCCCAGGCCAGATGGTTTTAATAAAGAGCCACTGCATACTAAATCCACCTTGTGCTTTGCTGGTGGCAACAGAATTTCTTTATCTCTCTCTTTCTGTGTGCTTTTAGTTTGCATTCAGTTTCAGTCAGCAAACCAGAGAAGGATTTGAAACTAGAGGTCATTAATAGTCTTGGAACAATAATGTGACCAAGTGATTGATAGTGAACAGAATCTCTCTCCTTGTAACGTCATCTTCTTTTGTTCCTTGCTTCCCATCACCTTCTCCTTTTTTTTCCTTCTCCTCCTTCTCCTGCCTCACTCTTGTATCTTCTAACTCTCCTTCTCTCTCTCTGTCTCTCCCTGCTATCTTCCTCTCCCTCTCTCTCTCTCTTTGCGCTCCTGGAGCGGGGGATGCCAGGGGGACAGAGTGCAGATAGGACCTGTCTCCATAGCAACAGCTTCTGCAAGCTGCTGACACCCTAGTGGGGGGTGTTGGGAGGCTGAGGGGTGAGGGGAGGAGAGGTTTTTCGATAGGGAGGAGTCGTACAGGGGTTGGGGCACGGAGAAGGTGTGTGCGTGCGTGCGTGTGTGTGTGTGTAGCAGTATTGCCTGAAAAATAAGTGAGGAGGGTCAAAGAGAGAGGAGGTGGGATGGAGAGAAAAGTGTGCGAGGAAGATGGATGAGATGGAGGAGGGAGAAGGAGGGGAAGAGGCAGTCGACCCTGCTTCTTCCCCAGGGACTCAGTGGCCTGCTCATGTTCACCAGCAAAATTAGCATAAAGATGGGGGAGGTGTGTGTGTGTGTGTGTAGTGTGTGTGTGTGTGATTGTGTCATTGTGCAAGTCTGTAATTTTTCCCAGTTTTATGTGTGTAGCTCACAGAGTCATTGCATTTGAGTGTGTTTGTGTACATGCGTGTAATTGACAAGAGTGTGTGTTGTGTGTTTGTTAGGTTCATGTTGTGAGTAGATCAGTGATAGTCAGTATATTTGTGTGTGTGTGTGTGTTTCTGTCCCATGGGTCTTAGCCCCCTTCCCTGTTCAGGTCTTGTGGTCCATAAACCAGCATCACTGTACTCAAGTCCTACTCTTTATGAGTGTGTGATGCAACTTCAGTGCGTCCGTGTGCAAGTGTGGGTCTGTGATTGTTTGTGTGTTTGACTGTCTGTTCTGATGTGCTTATGTAAGCAGTTGCGTTTTTCGGTGTGTGTGTGTGTGTGTCTGTGTGTTTTGTTGACAAGAGTTATATCATATTTAGCTCCCAGGCTGATCCCACTGTCGTTCTCTCAAATCTTTCGTTTGATGTAAAACAGATAGGAGACAATAGTATTGATGCATACAATTAAAACATTCTGCTGATGAATAGTTATATATTTTTTTATTATTATTATTTAGAATTTATGCAGAGAAAACAGAAAAAATGTCATTATATTACCTAGCATTGTCTTCTACCAATGCTCCGGTGCTTAGTCACACCTTTATTGAAGCCATCTTCACTAATGCCTTATTGTCAGTTTTCCTCTAAACAGGATTGTTAGTTGCAAAATATAATTCAATTAATTAACTGAATTAAATTATTGCCACTTGCGTTATGTGTATCTTTTACTTTTTAAATCGCAGCTTCTTTGTCTAGATTTTGTAAAACTCAATATATATGTGGATGACGTGGTGTTGTTTGTAAACGTTGAAGATTTGTGTAACAAGAATTCTTGTCAATACTTAGCAAAAAAACATTTATTGATCTATTTTAAGCCCCTTTTTTCTTGTAAGTTCAAAAATACTCAACTATTTAAATTCTATTTTTCAATGTTTTTTATGCATAGCATAACGTATAAACTTTGTTGCATAAACCTTTGTCTAAAATAAAAAAATAAAGATACAATACCTTGGAGAAATGTTAAGTTGTTCTACAAATGCAATACTTTTCAAGCAGATTGTAAGTTTACAATATAGATTTATACGATACAGCAATGTCCAACAAAATGCGGTTTCCTTTGTAACTCCAGTGTCTAGTAAATTTTCCAAACTCTGATTCGTCGATACTGTATATTTTATTTATATACTGCGGCATTAGTATATGCTTGAAAGTTATCCCATTTGTTTTGCCTAAAGGTAAATTGGTTTAAAACCCTGACTAAATTTAAATTTAGAACAACACAAAGACGAGACTTTCTCAACACTGCTTCTTGCCTCTGTCTCGGCATCACAAAAAAGAATCTGTCTATTCTCTGCAGTTTTAGGTAAAAAAACAGCAACATTTGAATTTAATTTTGTTCATAGTTCACCTTGAACCCTTCGTCTCCAGAGCTGATGAGTCGTTCTCTCACTCATTCTGCCACAGGGACGAGGAAACATTTTAAAGGTTGTAATCAAAGATGCTTTTTTTTTTGAATTGGTCATTAAACTTTTTGATGGGGAGGGCACTTATGAGAGTTGACTATTGGGATTGCAGATGCAGACACTGCCCCCTGTAGTCACTCGATGCCCAGTGCATCATATTCTGTGTAGATATGGATAATCATGTCCCATTTTAATTGACTGTTGACTGTGTTTCAGAGCGCAGCAGCAGCGCCAAGCCCAGTCATGGGCAACATGCCACCCAACGACGCCATGCCAGGTGGACCCATGCCCCCGGGCTTCTTCCAGGTATGACCTTAAACTCATCTCATCTTTGTCCTCTTTTATTTTCCCATCACCTTCAAACCTGAAGGTAATAAATCTGTTCATTTCCACCTTCCAAATACACATGCCTTACATTTTAACTACAATTCATTCATGTTTTTTTTCGATTTACTGAGAAAATGATAAATTCGATCTAATACATTACCTGGTAAATTCAGTCAATTGTCTGTACTATCAATTCAACAAAGTACAGCTGCAAATTGTCTAAATTGAAAATACGAACCAAACACTTATAGTGTGGTTGACGTCTTGTATGATAGAGGTAGATGTATATAGCAAATAAACAACTATTAGCCCTGTTTAATACTTTTACATTTTTTTATTTAGCAGATTTCATCTGTATTTGTTCAGATGATGTCACACCAGCACGGTGATTCAGCAAAATTCTAAATTGCATAATTTAGAAAGTGATATATATAGTTTTCGTCGTTGTTGTCCGTTGTGACTGAAACCCAAAGTTCAGTCCAGTTGCCCTGTACTTGACCTGGGCGACTGAGAAACTACATGGACAAATTGTTACTGAAATGCAGCCCTAAGGTTTTCAGACCAGTACAGAGCCAGCAGATTTCTCGTGTGTGTGTGTGTGTGTGTTCTTAAACCTAAACAGACTCAACAGTCTGTTGTGGATGTAGTCTGTAATCAGTGAGTTTGTTCAGGTGACGCCGCAGATACAGTTTGGCGTCTTAAACCCTTGCAGTCGTTAGTTCCCCTCAGCACCGTTCACTCACATCACACGCAGTCTGCCGTTCCTCTCTATCATTGTCTTCCTCTCTCTTCCTTCTCCTTTGGTATCCATCTTCTCCCCAGTCTTCCATCTCCATCCTCGTCTCTGTCTCTGACCTGTCCTGTTTCTGTGGAGAGAAAACGTCTTAGTGTGGAGTAATGGCTGCCTGTAGAGTCTGGAGAATTAAACACACACATACAGCACAGACACACACACACAAACGCATGCAAGTATACAGGTACATACCTGGCACACATTGACTAACAAAACCACACACACACATTCTCCGCGAGGCAGCGGCGTGATGGACAGCACTGGCATTTGGCAGGCAGCTCGATAAGGTGGTGGAGTAGAGTAGGAGAGAAAACACAAGTGACAAGATAGGAAAGAAACAGAGGGAGGGAGGGAGGGAGGAACGGAGGGAGGGAGGGGGAATGTGAAAGATCAGTGCCATTCTCTGATCGTGGCCCCCTGTTTGTTTCTGCGGCTCCTTTTCCACTTGGTTGTGTACGAGATGAGAGTGGAGCCATGTGCCGGGAGGAGGGTAGACGGTGCTGCTGCTGGTGGTGGTGGTGGTCGTGAGAGTTTCACTGTACATACGCTGAGAGGGGGAGAGGAGAGAGGAGAGAGGGCGAAGAGAGGCATGGAAGTGCTATTTATAACATTGACGCGGGAGTGAGATTGGGCAAATGTGTGTTGATGTGTGTATTCCTGGTGTAGCAATACTTGTGGGGACAATGTTTTGGGAAACTGCTTTTATTGTGGTGAGACTCTGTCCTTTTCCAGCTCCCCACTGAGGGATGGAATATTTTCAGGTTTAAAATTTAGTTTGGATTTAGCATTAGGATTACAGTCAGATTCAATTTAGTGCAGTGGTTCTCAAGCTGTGGTAGATGTACCGCTGTTGGTACTTGGGCTCCCCCTATTGGTATGCTGGAAGCCTGATTCCCTTTTGGGTAAGGTGAGTCACTTAGTTGCTAAATGCATCCGTTACATATTCCCACTTGCTTTGTGTGTGTGTGTATGTGTGTGCTTCTTTACCTAGAGTTGGGCGTTTTGTTGTGTTTACCTTGGCTAACTTCTAGGTATGACTTTCAGCTATTTTAATGAAAATTGGAAATCTTAACTTTTGTCCGATTTGTAGCTGTGCCTTCTCTCAAGTCACTATTTGGTTTTTATCTTTTCTAGCTAAAAGCTGTTTTGGTTGCACCGCTCAGTGTCTATTTTCTCATTTTTTAATGTGTCTTATTTCAAGAGGTCTGCCAAATAAATATGCTCTTCTTGTCCAACAAGAGGACTCCTGTAATTCTCTTGCTTGCCAACAGCAAAGCAACACATTAGCATCTGGTCAGGCGTCTCCTACAGTCGTGTGATTAAGTGACATGAGTTGCATGCACTGGCACAGAGGCGTTAATATGTGGCATATTTCAGACTGTTAAGCTTTTTGGCTAACTGTTAAAAAGTGAGCTGCCAGCACTGTCTCCTTTCACTGAAGGGCAAAGAGAGAATCCACTGTTAAGCACCGGCCTCTGTGGAATCAATAAGTACAACTGCACACATTCTGAAGGGTACTAAAATATTGTTCTACCCCTCAAAAGAACTTCAACTTTTTAAAAAAAGAATACTCAAATTCCATCTGAAGTATTAACCTGGTTGTAGGCAGTTTTCATTCACTTGTGTTTTTAGGGATCATCATCAGGTTGGTTACATGTAAATGATACAGTACAGAGAGTCTGCATCAAAGACAAATGTGAATTTTCCAAATTAAAAGTAACAGTTTAACAAAAACCTTACGTATGACTTAATTTCTGATTCCAGTGTATTTCTACAAAACACTACTTTAATGCTGATCTCACTTGCATTTTTGGTTTTGTGTCAAATCTTTGACAAGATGCAGATGCTTGGACTCCTATTCGCATTGTATTATTTACACGTTCACAGCTATATTGACCAACCACAGGTGTTATTTATCAGAAAGATGTGTTTCCTTTACAACTCATACATGCAAACCTAAAAACATGCTTTTCATTGACTAACTAAAGTATAAAAAAACAACCCTAAAACCTAGAGGGTAATCCATATGTGTTGTGTTTGCTTGTGTACCGGATGTGCCTGGGAGGGAAAGCATGGAAAATTCCATTTGCTGTTTTTTTTTTTTTTTAATATTGGTGCAGCTTTTGTTTTCTTCATAAGAGTGGAAAATGGTGTTGAGATGAAGACACCCTGATGGTGGCAGAGCGGAAGAGGGGCTGTGGCATAATGAGTTATTTATTAGGGGTCGTTAACCTCTCCTCTCTGAGTTAAATGTCAGCAATAACACAGCAGTGGCATAGAAGAGCCGGGGGTTGGTCTCTTTGTCTGCAGGGACACAGTGTTGCATGAAGAAGGTTTTTTTACGATTATTAGACGAAATAAAAGACCACTGTAAACTTGTTTATGTCAGTAATCCTGTTTCTGCTGTGAAGTTGCCACTAGTGGCTGTCCTGCTGCTGGTGCCTCGTTGGTCAGAATGAGCCTTTGGCAACACTGCCCCCTTGTGGTTGTAGAAAAGAACAATATATTTTTTATTTATGTAAAATGTGTATACATTTATGGCTAATTTTAAGCTCATTAACCTAGAAATAGCAATTTACAGCACTGAGCTATTTGTCCTAGCTATAGATGTCATTTTTGCTCTGCATTTTCTGAGTAATTGTGTACTATATAAGCTACAGTTGAGTTAAATATAAGCTGTTTTGAATCTAGCTAGTTTTGCTAGTTCTGGATCTGCTATATAGATGTTTACCAACTATTGGCTTTCTTTTGGCTAGCTTAGCCATTTTCACTTTATTTGCTGCTACAGTTTCTTATCGTTAGCTATTTTAATTTAAATGTTTTTCTAGCATATTTCTAATTATATTTACATTTTTATCTTCTTAGCTTATACTTTGTAGATATTGCAATATTTTATAGTGTTTTTCTGGCTGTTTTAAAACAGTTTAATCACTGTGGGTCTGACCTTTATAATGTGTTAGGCTATACTCATACAGTAGAAGAAATAGCAGTTTGCTAGCTTAACTTTAGCAGTTTTTCTGACCCAACTTTTGTTGAGATTTTTTTTTTTTTTGGCAAACTGTTTTCTGATCAGCGACAGACCGCAACAGGAAGAAGAAAAGCATTAACTTCTTTAAAGATTTTGATTCCATTCCTTCCTACTCTATACCCTCCACAACTTAACAACTCCCCTCTTACCCCCACTTACTCCCCAGCTCCAGTCCTCCTTCCCCCTCTCCCCCTTCTATTACTTTCTGAACTTTGAAGTAATTCCATGAGGTGTAAACCCCCCTTTTGGCCCCTCCCCTCTCTGACATGGCTCTTCTTTCTTAAAGGGACCGCCCGGCTCTCAGCAGTCCCCACACGCACAGCCCCCCCCACACAACCCCAGCAACCCAATGATGGGACCCCACGGCCAGGTAAGGAACCCACACCTTTTCTCAAACACCCCTGTCTTTGTACACCCTTTCCAAATCCTGCCCTCTCTCTCTCTCTCACACACACACACACACACACACACACAAAAGCTGCTTCTCCGCTCACTACCCTCATTCCACCCCCTTTCATGCACACACACACACACACGCCCCCGGAGCCCTGTTAGCTCTAGTTTTGTTCTTGGATCAGTCCCCGTAGGTGTCAGCAGCCCCTCTAGTTTCCAGCTCTGTTATAAAAAGCGGAGGAACCAGAGGAACCTCTCAGAGAGCGGCTCCTCTTCAAGGCCCAGATCGGCCATCCCTGGGTGGGATGAATAATTCACTCACTGCCCCTCCTCCAGAGCAGCCTGTTTATATATATATATATATATGTGTGTGTGTGTGTTTGCGTGTTGGGGGATGCGCGCTTATCTGCTCCTTCACTCTTAACACACACACACACACACAAATACACCCTTCACTCCTCTTCCTTTCTACACACTTCTTCCAGCCCCTAATAAATAAAACAGTGGACCAGCACTGAGGACATGTCACACACAGGAACTCATATTTACAGAAAATGGTACATTAAAAAGAAAAAGCTTAAATGTAATGATATGGATATGTAAATATCATCCCAGTTAAATCATATAAAGCTAAAAATACCCAGACTGGATTAAATTATATCCATTATAGCAACAAAGCTTAAAAAGTCCAACAGAAATATATTTTTTTTAAAAATGGTCCAAAGGGTAACTAAAGGTCATTCCAGAATTACATATTTGGAAAATAAAAAAATGTTGTAAATATAATCACATTAGCCCAGCCCTTTACTTAAACATAAAAGCAGTCAAAATGAACCATTGTTCATAACCCGTACTAACCAAATCTCGTTTTTTAGTTTCCTCAAAGCTTAACCTGACTCACACATACAGACAAACTTTGATTCAGCTGCACGTTAAACAAGGAGCAGGAGTCTGTCCAAGCTGTATCAGTTTGGGCCTCATAGTCCCAACTTATGTTTTAAAGATAAAACGACAGTTGATGTGAATAAAATGCCAACATCTGTGATAGTATGGTACTTCATCAGTAGTCATAGCATGGAGGCTCCACATGTACAGGAAGTCACCATCGACTCCCAGGATTTTAGTCATATTTTCTGTTTATTATTTAACCCTGGGGTTTCCTCCAGCAGGACACTGTGGGAAAGTGTTCGTTACACTGGCCTGTCTGCAGTCCAGATTTTTCTCTTATTGAAAATGGAGCATAATGAAGGAGAGATAATGTCATCTTCAAACACTGACTTTATTATTATCAGGAATATTCTGATTCCAAAACTGCCATTATTATAATCTTTATTTCTTGTTGTGAGCCAGTGGAATGCTGGCTTTTCCACACTGCCACACGATACCATATGTCAATTTAGTCAATGCTCAAATCATGGCTGTCAAATGAAACAGTAATCATGTTAATTATTTTGTGAAATAAATCCAATTAAAGGGTTTTAACACGTTGGCAGGAGTTCAGTGTTATTCCAATAATTCCATCGTCCGTTCACTCATCGTCGCTCTAACACACGGTCGATACACAGCATGAATTTGTGGAGGCTTTAATATCAGGTCAGACACCCGACCTGTATCAGGACCATAAATAAGTCTGCCACTGACACAGTTGTCGTCTGGATTGTCAGGAGACTGTGGACTGATTCATATAGTTGAGAAAAAAAGGTGTTCTACCAAGATTTTTAGTTGCTTTCTTCACAGTTGATAGTTTGACGGTCCTCGTTTAAATAATGCAATTAATTTCATTACAGTCAAAACACAAGACAACATTTATTTTTCTTTCTGTCTGGTAATAAAGTTACAGGAATAAAAGAGAGAAAAACTCCTATTTTTAGTGTGGATTGTTTCAACCTTTAAAACCAGTCTTTTCTACAGACTCGGGTCAATCAGTGTTTTTGAGGTCACGGTCGGGAGGTAGAGCTTCAAAGTTTGGCAGCCCACCCTCTGACCACCCTCCCCACTCTCATTCTTGTGGTTTCTGGTTTCTGTCCTGTGTGTGGTTGGAGTGTGTGTGAAAGAGAGAGAGAGAGAGAGAGAGAGAGAGCGTGGGCACGCTTCCTCTAACCTTTTTCGGACGCTGTTGTTGGACCGATGTGTCTCTAACTAACGCCGTGTAAACCACAGAGTCGAGTCAGTTTACACCACAGTGACAGCAGGCAGGGCCAGGTGTGAGTGGCACACACACACACACACACGCACACACACACACAAATATATACACATATAAGGCTGTGATGAATCTGTGATTCTCCAGTGTCATCTTCCATCCATTCACCACCACGTGTCCATTTGTGTGTTTATGACTTTCTTCTGTCAAACTGTTATAGATTTTTAAAAAATAAAATCTTTATTTTCTGTCATTTGCGTTATTTTTACCATGTGCTTCATTTGTTTTACAGCCTTTCATGTCACCGCGGTATCCTGGCGGACCTCGGCCTGCACTCCGAATGCCAAATCAGGTATGACGCTGCACCTTTGACCTTTGACCTTCGACCTTCTTCACAGATGTGACTGAGAGGTGTTTAATGTTAGGAAAGTGTCATGATGTCGATCCTTCTAATTTTCTTTCTTCTTCTTCTTCTTCTTCTCAGCCTCCGGGGGGAATCCCTGGGTCTCAACCTCTCCTGCCAAACAGTCTGGACCCGACACGACCGCAAGGTAGAGCTGGAAGGCTTTGGTGCAACGTTTAGTCAGAGCAAATAATGATGTCAAAGCAGTTTCATGTCAGATGATAAGGTGATGCTTAAAAGGCTTTGGTTGCATCTGATGGCGTTAGGACCAAGGTGAAGCCTAACTGATGTTCAGGCGCCCCCTGATGGATGCTTTTGTTACTGTTTTGTCTGTTTCTCTCTAAATGGGACCATAATTCACTTAAGAAAAGAACACGTTTTGGACCAAACTGTGACGTAAATTTGTTATAAACGCTCCTTTATTTTCTGTGTTTCAGGACACCCTAACATGGGTGGACCAATGAGAATGAATCCTCCTCGAGGGATGGCCATGGGCCCACAGGTACGTGCACATGAACACACACACACACACACACACTACCTGTAAGTCTCTTAAACTGACTATTATTTCTCCATTTTTGCTAGCCTTTAGCTCTTTTACACTTATTTTGTTTAAAATGTTAGCACATTTTTGCAACATATTTATTTAAATTTCTACCTTCATACTGAAAAATCTTTAAATTAAAATTTGTAATTTGTATGTAGCTGCCCCTCACATGGTCTGCATTTGTACGACTTTTTATTTTTCAGAGTCATTAGTACTAAGTTTGATGACATGTTCCTGTCACCTATTAAATACTAAGTTTGATGACATGTTCCTGTCACTTATTAAATTTAAACTTACACAAGACAATGTGCTTCTTCTGCCCTATCTCACAGAACTATGGAGGAATGAGGCCTCCTCCCAACTCCATGGGTGGTCCGATGCCAGGGATGAATATGTGAGTAAAAGCCTGCCCTTAGAAACAGTTTAATCTTAACACCCGTTATTAAACCTGAAGTCATTTACTTCTAATTTCCTTGCAAACTATTTCCTCCCCCCATTTTCTTCCTGTCATTCATTTATCTTTATCTTTTTACCCTCTTTTCCTTTTTCCCCTCAGGGGTCCTGGAGGCAGGGGGCCGTGGCCTGGGCCTAATGCTAACTCTGTGAGTCAGAGGCTTGACCTCAGACCATTTACACATAGATGTGTTGAGAATAAATGACCTCCTAATCCTGTTGACACTTGTAAAATGGTTCCAATAAAATGCAAACACATTTGTAAAGTTAAAATAATTCATTATCACAGTTTTTTACTCTTTATGAACAGTTAAAAGAAATACAGAGCAATGTGGAAAATATATCTGTAAAGTTTTCTTGAGCTGTTGTTCTGAATCGTATCTGATTGTAAAATATTTCTCTCTTTATTCACATTTCATCTCCTCTGGCTTTCTGATGTGATTATCTGTTTCCTCTCGGCGCCAGCAGATAGCATACTCCTCATCATCTCCAGGAAACTACGTGGTGAGTTGGAAATCTATCAGTTTGTGTGTGAGATATTTATAAAAGTGTTGCACTTTGCAGAAGCCGATGTGCTGATTATTCCTAATCTCTGCTCCTCAGGGTCCTCCAGGCGGAGGAGGTCCACCCGGAACTCCCATCATGCCCAGCCCAGGTGGTGCGTCACCTAACTTTGTCCCCAGAACTAACACTGGTTCCATTTGTTTTTTCCCCCTTTACTAAACAAGCATGGATAGCCTTCCTCCCTCCACCCTGTCGACCCATCCCATCTATTTAACCTCTGCCTTTTAAATTTTGAACTGAATTTTTATTGTTTTTTTTCCCCTCCTAAGATTCAACCAACTCCAGCGAAAACATCTATACGATGATGAATCCTATTGGACCAGGAGGAAACAGACCCAATGTGAGTCACACACATGAAGAAAAATGAAAAACAAACACATTCTTTCATGATGCTGTAAATATTCTGCTTCTCCACAAACTGTTCAACGTCAAATTCCCTCTCTGTTTGTGACAGTTCCCAATGGGACCTGGGCCTGACGGGCCAATGGGAGCAATGGGAGCCATGGAGCCACATCACATGAATGGATCACTAGGTGGGTGAAAATGAAACTGTGTGTGTGTGTGTGTGTGTGTGTGTGTCTGCGCCATCACTGTCCACAGGAATGTTTTTGTATATTGTATTGATCGACTTCTCTCTCTCCGTCACCTCCTCAGGGTCTGGGGATATGGACGGGTTGCCAAAGGTGAGTGGATTGAGATAATTATTAGACAGATATTTATTATCAGTTTCAACTTCACCACATCTAAATGATGAATCCTAAATGTTTAAATCCCACCCTCCTCCAGAGTTCTCCTAACAACATGGGAGGCATGAACAACCCTCCTGGAACGCCGAGGGATGACGGCGAAATGGGCGGGAATTTCTTGAACCCATTCCAAAGCGAAAGTGTAAGAGGAAATTCTTTTTTATTTTGTTTCACAGCCTAAAAGAGTCAAATAAGTACAGTTTTAAAGTGTGAACTTTACTAATATCAGCCCAACAGTTTCAATTCTGTGAATCAAATGTGAAAAACCAAACCATTTAAACAGCAGAAGAAAACACTGGGTTAGGAACCTTAGACCTGGACTCCTGGTGTTCACTCTGATCAGTCAGATGTTTACTTTTAAAATCATTTGATTAGCCCAGAAAATGATGTAATGTTATTGATAACAAGCTTCTCCACGTTCACTTTAAAAGTCAAGACAAAACCATTACAGACAGATAGATAGGATCAACACCTCAGACTGTATAAATTAACAGTAAAAAGCGCTCATTGAATCTGTCTTTACTGCCTGTAGCTCCTGCAGGCTTCGTCTTTGAGCGCCCTCTGGTGCCTACATTTTGTCCGTGACAGATCGACTCATCTTTTTTTTTTCCTCTCCCCTTCCCCTGTTTTTCTTCTCTTTGCAGTATTCACCCAACATGACGATGAGTGTGTGATTTTGTTATTTTCCCTTTATTGCTTTTATTTTTTTAAATTCCCTTCTTTTTTTTAATCAAATCAATCCTTCACATTGGATTGGACCACCTCTCTCCATCAAACACACACACACACACACCACTTTTTCCTCCACCCTCATTCCAACCCCACCATTGGCTCCTCGTACCACCAACATCAACCACGGTCACTGAGAACCTCTGGGACGCCGCCCCCGGGAGCGTGCTGGGAGCTCCCTCCTGGAGTGTGAGGAGACGCCTGTCGATGCAAACGGGAAACAGTCATCGCAGATCCACAGGAAGTACCTGCTCCCTGACTCCCTGAGGCTCTGGCTTCTCTGACTTCCTGTCAGGGTGCAGACACTGAGTCAGGGTAGAAAGGAGGATGAGCAGAGAGACAGACGAACAGAGAGAGGAGACTGGAAAAAAACAAAACAATGATTCAGCCCTTTCTTGTGGTCAAACTCTCCAAGCAGCTGTTTGCAAACATCTCAGCCGTCACTTTGGACTTTTATTTTTATTTTCCTTTTCCTGTGTTTCAAACCCAAATGGTGAGTTGGGAAAGCACCTCTTTTTTTCCCCCCTCACATTAGTCCCTCTGTGTTTACAGAGGTGTTGTTATAATTTGATGAAAAATATTTTGTTTCTTTTTTTTTTCTTTTGTGTATGTATTGTATCATTGTTATTTTTATTATTTTATTATTGTTATTAATGATATTGGTCTTACCATTTTTAAGATTAGGTTTTTGTTTTTTTTTTAAAGAAAGGGCACATGATTATAATGAAGACAGTCCATTTGCTGTATAACATGCGAGCACACTGCCCCCTACTGGTGAGATTTGACTGATGGTACTGATTGGCTCATTGTTCCCTTTTGATAATCCTTAGTTTCTTTCCACCCCTTGTTTGAACAACACATGACAGAATAAAATAAAAGCAGCTCCTGTTTTTGTAGCTTCAATGCAGTGCAATGCACAGCTCTATTTATTATCACATACTTTTTTTTTCATTTAAATCAATGTTATTTTTTTTTTGTTTGGGAAGTTGTGACCACAGTCTTTTGTTAAAGGAGACATTTGACAGTTTTCAACACATAATAACCTACATGACCGGGACACTCTGAATTTTAACATGCTCAAAATAATATCTCAAGTGTTACGCAACATGAACTCTTCCTAATGACTTACAGTACTGCTCCAGTGGTGTCCTGCAGGTAAATGTTGCCCAGTCCTAATCTGCCCTCTACAAAATAGAGGCTGTAGCAAAAAGTCTGAACATGTGTTGTTGGTCGGACATCAAATAATGGGGTTAAGTGTTGAAAACAGAAGAATTTCCCCCTTTACTGGTAGCAGCTCTGTAAATATGCAGATCCACTCGGCAGTGTGTTCTATCTCAACATCAGGCCCCGGGTCTTTTTTTTGTTCATGCTGCTTCCACTCCTGCTGCCCACTCTGCTCACTCCACTGTGTTTGTAGGCTGTGGTTGTTGTCTCTGTGCTGACTCAGATTTGTTTTTCTTTGCTGATGAGTCCCCGACACTGTGACTTTCTCCAACTGCAGATATTTTGATTCAATAATTACCCCAACTGTGTTTATCAATCACACCTTGAAAAAACATTGGTTTATTTTGTTTCTCACCTGGTCCTGTAGAGGGCAGTCTCTCTGCAGTTCAAGCTCATATTCTCTTTGGCCAACTGTTATATTTTTAATACATTGTGATTGTGCTGTAAGCAAGCAAGCTAAAACAATCTCTTAGAGGGAACATATCCTGTAACGAGCAGTGATAATATTCATTTGATTTTAGCATTGTTTTTACAGTCATGTTTCTCAAACATTTTAATTTAAGGACCTGCGTTTAAAAAAAATCAAACACGTTTTAACATAATTCACAAGGAGAAGTTGTTCTTTTCAATTGTAATAATGATAATAATTTTCTTGCAAAAGCAGTTTCTCACAAATCAGTGGTCTGAACCTGGTTTCCTTTTCAAATGTTAAGAACAGAAAAGACCAAAAAAAAATCCACTTCCTTTAAAACCCTTTGACTGCATGTTTCACAGCCTTCTGAAGTTGTTGTTAAGCAAGGTTTAAAATCTTAGGACAAGAAAAAAAAAATCAACACATTTATTGAAGATCCCTTAAAAAAACAAACCAATTGCTATGAACCTAAAAATGAAGGTTTTTTTTTTTCACTTTGCTTAAAAGTGAGCATGCTTAAGATGTTAGCAAGCAAGCTAATCCTCCTGGAAGATGTACAAGAAAATAGCTAGCACTAAAATCTGTCACTTTCTCCTTGATGACTTGGCTAGAAATGCCTCTGTGACTGCACAGGAGGAGAGTACTGTTGGTCAGTTCCACCTTTTTCTTTCCCGTGCTCCTCAGCAACACATGGCAGATATTTGAATGTTTTCAAAGACCTGGTTGATGATGTGACACTTGTTGGACTATGATTCTGGGAAATCTACCAGCACTGGTACGTGTGCTGCTGGATATATTTTACGCACAGCTGCCTCTCCGTCAATTGCATCCTGTGACATGAGTGGGCCTCCCTTTCTCGCTCTTTACCTTTAATCATCATACAGAAAACGACCTTCATCTTCTCCGGCCATTTCTTAGAACTCCACCCTTCTTCTTCTTACGACTCTCCATCTTTTCTGAGTTTATTTTTTATCCTTTTTGGTGTAAATACTGTAAAATGCATTTTGATATCATTGACATCTTTTGATATTTCAGATCACAACTTGACAGTTGATCAGAAAACCTGCCAATTTCGGGCGACTGACTGTGTGTCTTTGTTCAGAGGTGGGAAAAAAAAGGTTCTTTTACACAGAAATCATATGAACGAGGAGGAAACAGAAATTGGAGCTGCTATGGACTGATATGCTATCCCACCTCATCCTAAACAAACCGGGGGATGGGGAGGGTTCCACATTTTGCAGCGCTGTAGCATCATGGGAACTTATAGGATGAGTGAAGACGATTTTATTACCATTCAATTCTCAGAGCTCTGACAAATAAGGGTGCGTTCACATTGACTTTGTTCAGACTGATAAACCATTTCTTTTTTTTGTGATATCTTTTTTTTGTTGTACATGGCTGTGACCAGTTTTATTTAACATATTGTGTTGTTTCCTTGTAACTAATTTGAAGGCCTCACCCAAAACTGCAATAATTAACATTGCAATCTCTATAGGTAATGCAGGCTTTAAAGCCTAGACTTTCTTTCTCTCCACAAAGCTGAAGTATGCCTCTGTGGCTGCTCAGTCTGCACACTAGCTGTTCTTCCCTTAAAAGTGCGTATGCTTAAACTGTTAGCAAGCGAGCTCCCTGTTCTCCTGGGCTAACATACGAGCCCATTAAGACAGGTCCTGGGTTCTTATATTTAGCAGTGAGTGTTAAGTTATTTTTCCCGTTGCATCCATTTCAGAAACTTTTAGGTGTGAACGCACCCTTACTGTGCAAAACCGCTCTGTCCTTATCTTCTGTTCTTGGAAGGTGGCAAAGAAATGCCATTTTTTTTTTTTTTTTTCGTGCAACCCAATTTTTTCTCAAAAAACAAAACAAGCGCAAAAGATGCTAGCTCTCAATCTGACACCAGGGACCACACTTTACTATGAAGGATTCTTTTTTTTTAATGTATTTAAATGGGACGGGAGAAAGTAAAGAGGTGGAGAAATGAATTTAAATGGACAGGCATGTTGCTGAGAGGAGGAGGAGGAGGAGGAGGAGAGGTGTTCACCTCCTCCTGGTTCCACACGTTGAAATCCTGTTGTATAAAATGCAGTCGAACTTCTCTCTTTCCTTCTGTCCTGTAAGTAAAACTCGTCACTGCGTTGATCATTTCTGTATTTCTATTGTGCTGATGTATAATACTGTAACATTCAGGGGGGAGGGGTCAGAGAGGAAGTTTTAGGGACTGGGACTAAAGAAATTTCTTTTTTTGTTGTTTTTTTTTTTTCTTTTTCTTTTTTTCCTCTTCATGACAAAGCAGTATTGAATATGAGGCAGTCGGTCCCTGGGGAGTTGCTTTGTGTCTCATGTTAGGGGTAGTTTTCAGAATCCTAAATGTCTCGTGTAGTAAAATTAAAGAGGTTCCTTCTTCGTATGTTTCTTTATATTGTAAAGTTTCTTTAGATAATAAAAAATAATAATGTTCCTTATGGAAAAAGGTGGGAAAACTTGCATTGATAAATGTTTTGTTTTATTTTTTGCCTTTGGTTTAATTTTCATCAAGTTGTCAGTCGTTTTTGCCTGTGTCCCCCTTGTTGTAGATACATATTAAAAACAAATAAAATGAATTCACTCCTTTTTGCCATGAACAGAAGCTGTTAATTCTCCAGTCTAGACAACCACTCCTCACACTGCAAGAAGTAGATCAACCTGGAGCAACACCAGTCCTGATTGATGACTGATGATGGTTCCATTTGTTTATATTAAACAAACTCTTCCATGATAACTTTATGGACTCTAGACTAACACTTAAGGTATATATATATATATTATACATATATTTTTTATTATTAATATTTAATTTAACTTTTCTGTTTCTGGCCTTTCCCTAGCTAACTTGTAGCCCCATTTGGCTAACATTACATTTATATATCTATTTTGGTGATTTTTTTTTTTGTTTTTTTTAGCCAACATATACTGTATATGTTACTTTCTGTGTAATGTTGTCATGTGCCTAAAGGAAGAGCCAAAAAAAAACCTTGACCTCGTTGGTCCTGTGAAGACTTTCAAATGAGCCGTAAAAAATATTTTCCCTTTCATTTTTACTTCTCGTCCTTATGGCGTCCTTATGCTTCTGTCCTATGACGACACTGATGTCCTTCTCCTCCGTCTGTCCTTGGTCTCCTCTGTCTCCTCTCTCCTCATCTGTCCTGTCTACACCTGCTGAGCTGTACACAGTGGAAGTCAACTCCACTGCCAGCGTTCAAAGCCATAAATATATATATATATATATTTTTTTTTTTTTTTTTTTGCTCTAAATGTCCCCTGTGGCTGACGCTGCTCTACAAAGACCCAGGGAGTGTCTTTGATGGGAGGCGACTTTGAACGGGCCTCACCTTCCCGCTGATCATCACCCGCCTTCAAACGCCAGCAGATCAGGACAAATCAGACCCAAATAAATGAGGTTTGGAAAGCAGACATACAAATTCAGAGCATCTGACTTGTCTGCAGCTGTTCAGTGGAAATGAATATATAAATGGATGTGACAGAGAATGGTTTGAGTGACAGGGAGGGAGGTACGGGAACAGAAGACTGTCTGAAATCAGAAAATCACTGTCAAAAAGCAGACATGCAATTAGAACGGGAGGCAATAAAAATAGCATTGACCACATCATTTTCACTGCATGTAATTTTTATGCAAATCCTGGAAAAATCCACTGGTGTCAGTGAGGTCTCTGTTGAAGGTTATACTCTGGATGAGCCCAAGACTCAAACCTGCTCTCAGTAACAGTCAACAGTCACAGAGCAGACAGGCCGTGGGTTTCTGCTCAGTTAACCCACTTCCTTCACTGCATCCACAGATTTTTTATTTTTTTTACCCACTTCCTTCACTGCATCCACAGATTATTTATTTATTTTTACCGTGGATGAGCCCAAGACTCAGATCTGCTCTTCAGGAATGGTCCTCAGTAACAGTCAACAGTCACAGAGCAGACAGGCCGTGGTTTTCTGCTCAGTTAACCCACTTCCTTCACTGCATCCACAGATTATTTATTTATTTTTATTTTTTTTGTTGATAACTGTCCGTGCATCGATGATGTCTTAAAAGTGACAAATTGTTCTGGACTGTGGTTGAACACATGGAAGTAAACAGGTCACAGCTGTGTTTCTGCAGGAGCAGTTGGGCATTTGTCTAAAACTATGGGGTCTTTAGTGATAGGATGTAAAAAGATGTGATTGTCCATCATGCATTGCTGTCAGAGCTGTCTGGTCGAACCCAGGTGGACAGATGATAGAGGATGGATGATGGATGGATGGATGGATGATAGATGGATGGATGGATGGTGGATGGATGGATGGATGAATGGATGATGGATGCATGATGGATGGGTTCTGGATGGATGATGGATGGATGATGGATGATGGATGATGGATGATGGATGATGGATGATGGATGATGGATGGATAGATGGATGGATGCTGGAAGGATGATGGATGGATTGTGGATGGATGATGGGTGATGGATGGTGGATGGTGGATGGTGGATGGTGGATGGTGGATGGTAGATGGATGATGGATGGATGATGGTTGGATGGATGGATGGATGGATCTCCTAACAGTATGACACATAAAGACTGACTGGACCTGACTGTTGGTCTGAGACCCATTTCCATTAGGACACAACCAAAAACAGAGCCTGACAAATAGTGAGAACTGTGCTGGTACTGTTCTAGTACTGTTCTGACCTTCTTCGCTGTGATTGTACCACAACTATTACTGGCAATTTTCACTCCTTTCAGTCCACCCTCACTCTGCAGGTCAGTGTATTGTGCTCCTGTATTGGACAGTCCTGTTATTGTTGGACAAACTACCTCTGTCTGCAGTTTAAAGCTCCACTCATTGTTGTCATGGTTTAAACCAAGATCAGGAAAAACCCAGGTGTGTCTGAGTTCACACACACACACACACACACCTGACAGGTGAATTACCAGATACGCTGAACTATTTAATTTGACCTACATCCTGCAACAAATTACTTCAAACAGGTCATATCTTGTATCCAGTGGCCCATGTGTACTACACAGAATGTAGGCCATGAGTTCAAACAAATGTCCTTCTTCTGTTCCTCATCAGTATCCAGTGGCCCATGTGTACTACACAGAGTGTAGGCCATGAGTTCAAACAAGTGTCCTTCTTCTGTACCTCATCAGCCAGGACCACTGAAGAGGTGGATTGGGATGGTGTAGCTCATATAGTGTACTGAGTATTTAACTAAATGTTCTGCTATCTTGTGGTGAAGTAGACCAGTTCCTGAACACAACTGATAAAATGTAGCCCCAGACCTTTACAGAGCAGCTTCCATGTTTTCCTGATGATTTTAAACTATTATTGATTTTTTTGGCCCCTCACTTACCTACCTCCAAATTACTACAAAACTTTGACCTAGTTGACCAGGTCTACCTAACTTATGTTGGTTTAAAGTATATTTGTATGTGATAATTTTTTTTTCTTGTTTACTTGCATTGTATACAGAAGCTGTATAATAAAATAAACAAAAATAATACTTGCTAAGTATTTATATTTTTCACAATTAAATATTTGTATCACATTGTTTTCTGAAAACAATACTATAAAATAAAATATATGAGGAAACCAGTGACAGAAAGGACTGGCCGTGGGGCAAAGTGGATTGCGTCATAGCTACGTAATGGTTTATTTATGTGCAGCGTCCAATCAGTTGTCTACTGAGTCCTGTCGTCATGACGTAATGTGATCTACTCCAGAATAGCGCGCGCGGCGGCGGCGGAGCAGCAGCAGGAACAGAACTAGGAGGAGGAGTAACAGGATTGTGGGGCCGAGAGAAAGCTTTTCTTAATCGGTTGTTTACCGGGTCATGTCGGGGAGGCTCTGCCCGGTATAGACGCCTGAAAGGCGGGATGTCGGACCTGAGGGAAAGCCATTGTTACGGACTGTCCAGCGGGAAACTGAGCCGCGGAGGAAACATTTCGGTTTTTCACGTCAAACTCACTGACAGCGCTGCCAGAGCCATCGGTAGCTTTCAAAACAGCAAGGTAGGTGCTTTTTATTGGCGCTTTATGAGATAATACACTGTCTGGGGCTTTATTTTTGCTGCCAGTTTCGTTAAAGAAACCCGGGCCTGAGTAAAACCCTAACGAGTGAGGAGAAAGCTTGAACGAGAAGCCGAACTTCAGTAGTCTCTGGTCGGTTTGTTGTCTCCACCAGCCTCCCCTCTTTTTATAGCCATGAAGTAAAAACCAATGTTGCATAATACAAAGCGGTAACCATTTCCTGTTTAATGACGGTGCTGGTATAGAAAAAAAAAACGATAAAAATCAACACAAACTGCTAAATGTTGTGTTTGAGAATGAGTGTGAAAGTGGAGGAGACAAGAAAGAACAGAAGGGGAGAACAAGGAGAAGGGGGAAGGACAAAAAGCATTTTTTGTTTTTATTATCATCAAACTTTATTTTAAGAAGGGCAAACAAGAAGAATTAGCTCTATTTGTCATTTGTACATGAATAAGTATAAATATACACCCAAACCAAATTTGTCTCTGCAATTGACCACCAAACAGGAGCAGTGGGCGACGCTTCACACCACAACCAAGGTCGGGATACAAACCGGCAACCCTCCTATCACAGGCCTGACCCTGCCACAAATATTCACAAAGAGATCGTCAAATATTTTCAATGGTTGACGTGTAAATGATAAAGAAATATAAGAACAACAAGAACAAAAACATAGTGGACGAAGTAGGTTTTTTTAAGACGTTTTGAGAGGTGAAATGTCTCGATGTGACTATTTTCAGATTAAATGACCTGATGACTGAGAACCTACACAGACAACCAAAACATAGAGAACCGACTGGTCTGGACGAAACAAGACTAAAAATCACTACGTGAAATAAAACTCTCAGGCTTGAGGCTAATTCTTAATTTGCTGCCAAGTCTTTAAAGTGAAGTCTAAAACTAGGTTGTGGATGAGAGAACCCACAGATACACATCACAGTTGCTACTGTCGCCTGCAGCCAACAATTCGTCTTCAGACGCAGCCAAATATTTCAGATTTGCTCTCATTAGCCCACAGCACCTGCTGCTGTGTTGGTTGACTCACTTGGTCTCCTCTCCACGTCCCAGTTTGGATTTGTTTTATCTGCTCTCCTCTGGACACTGGATTTAGACTAGACCAGTGGATTTTAAAAGTGTGAGGTGTGGTTCCCCCGGGGGGATTTAGACTAGACCAGTGGATTTTAAAATCCAGAACAAAAACAGCAAGTGGCAACAAGCGGCAGTATGGACAATATGTAAAATAGCTAACATGCTGTACATCGGAAAGGATGGATTTTTAGGAACCGCTTTGAAAACCCTGGAGCAGACGGTATTCTTACAGTAAAGTATACAGTACAGGTTGTTCCTCTTGCGTCAACTCTCCCATGACAAAGTATTCGTAGGTATTAATCGGACATGACTAGCTGAACAACAAGGTTGCTGGTGTGATCCGTGGTCAGGTACTTCCTGTGATTTTTCTCCAAATCCCCTAGTTTCCTCCCACTGTCTGAAAACACAGAATAAATGACTGCCTTATTGCCCACTACACTCACACAACCTTTACTAGTTACTAACTTTTAATCGTCCATGACGGACTTTAAGCAACTCGTACCCATGTCATTTCTATTTCTAGTTCTTTCACATGCAGCCTGAGGCTAACTGTTCACTCTTAACTCTTAACCATAGGTGTAAATGTGAGTGAAAATGGTTGTTTTGCGTAGAGAGCTGTCGAGGGTGAGCCAACCCTGCCCATTCACCACTGTGATTGGCCGTCTAGGATTGATAAAAGATGAATGAACAAATAAAGGAAGTTTAAGAAAATAATCGTGGTGCTCCCAATAGCAGAGTTATTTAATCTTATTACAAAGGGTAACAGATTACAGCTCAGCCCAGAGGCTTTATTGTAATTGTCTGTGCATTTTCTCAGTCTGACCCATTTCAAGAAAATGAGTCATCCAGCCAGAACACACACTTCCTCACTTCTCTCATTCCAAGTAAAACAAACCTGAGAAGAGAAATGCACCGTCACTTCTGATAAAATCTGCAGAGAACCGCATCCTTCCATACAAACATCCTCCCCTCAGCTGAGACAGGAAGGGGGGGAAACACCTGACGCAAAACCTGAAAGTCGACTCTCACTGTACTGTTGCCCCGCTTTATTTAGCTTAAAGTCTGGCTGTTCATAACCCTCCTTGGCCCCATCATAGAAACAAGGGGTAGGGGCAGACACACGTACACGTACAGCCGCCCCCTCTGTACGCAGCTGGCCAGTCATCCACAGGTGGACTCACGAAATCCTCTCCGTAGAAAAGGTCAACAAGATTCCGGTCATTACTAACTTCATGTCTGGTCCGCTGTGTTTCCCACAGGCTATTACTTCACTCTGTGTGTGTGTGTGTGTGTGTGCGTCAGCGTATTCCATCCCATTCATGCTGTCTGTTAGAGGAGCTGGTGTGTGCGTGAGCAGCGGGTGGTTGAAAAAAAAGAAAGAAAAGAAAATCTTCCACAGTGGCCTTTTCAGAACATCAGATTGAGTTTGTTCAAAGGCCACGCCATGCACCACTGACTGGATATGACACACTTTACATGTTTACATTTGTCAGTTAAACAAGGAGAAGAGGAGCACTGTTCATTTACAAATGTGTGTGTGTGATACTGCTATAGCTATACACGTGGGGACACTTTTGAAAACAGTAGAGATGCTGTCCTTGTGAGGACCTGCTGCAGGTCCCCACTGAGTGAAAGGAGATTATGTGGTTCAGGAGTTAGCTTGGAGTTGGATTAGAATTAGCATCAGATTTTCATGAGGGCTAAGATTAGACGTACATTCGTAAAAGTTATGGGTAGGATTAGGGCTTAGGAAATATTTATTATCTGACTGATGAGTGCGCACAAAATACAGAAACCTGTGTGTATGTGTATATGTGTGTGTTTTGGAGGAAAGTACCTTTGCTTAACTGAGAATATTTGTACCCAAGTATCCAGAGATGGTGGAACAGAGCTGGGAAATTCCATATGTGACTTCTTTTAAGGTCTTTCAGGTTTCATTTTTCTGTCAGAGGGAAATTTGATCTCTTTCTGTTAAACCTTACTACTACCATTGAACTTTTAGCTGTCTTGTTTGGCTACACTGTTCATTTACAAATACCAATTACTTGTAGTAATTTGTCACGGTATATACTCGCGTATTAGCCGATTCGCGTATTAGCCGACTATAATGTTTTTATTTTTTTGCCATGGTAAAATCTCTAACTCCTGCTGTAAAACAATTAGAAAATGATCTTGGTAAACACTGCTTACGTTTAAATTGGGAAGATTTCACCAATGGTTGTTTGCGCAATTCATAATAGACGTGTGATTTCTTTGCATTACGTATATCAGTGGTACAGTTAAAATAATTATTAAATATTAGTTGTAGATTGTGTGGATAAAATTAATTTATAAATGTAATGATATTTTTGACCATATGTTCGACTTTGGTGTTTATTATCGGTGATCGATGGAGAATGCTGTCCCAGGTATTTATGCGCATATAAGCAGACCCCCCGATTTGATTTTGATTTTTTGGTGTTATATGCGAGTATATTTGATATTCAATGGAACACATTATGCGTCGTTTAAAATTGATACAAATGCGTAACAATTCGCATCAGTTGAAATAAAAAATGTATTGCGTATCAAGGCGTAAGGAGTTGGCTGCGTTATCTCAGAAAGTCTCTCATGGTCGTACCATGAGACTTTACAGTCCAGTACAGTAGGTGGTGCTATGCGGCTTAAAATGCTGGTTGTGTTTATATGTGTTTTTCCTCTGTGCTTAAACCTAATCTATATTTGCTGTATTGCTGGGTTATTTTTAGCTTCCTTCCCATTATCCTTTTTAAGTCTTAAAGGGATCTTGAGGCTGATGTTCTTTCACACAATAGTGGGTTGAAAACTGCTACATTAAACAATAGACTGACCTGAGCAGTGGCTGAGAACATAAAGGAAAGTAAATATGGTAACCATAGAGGTAAAAGCACAAAGAAAGAGGACAAAACAGTGGAAATACAAGGACAAAGAGTCCCAGTCCCCGGCCGTGCTCTTTGGGTGTGTGTGTTTCTATACTGTGCACTGAGAAACTCTCCATTTTATATGATTCCTCTGTTCTTCAGGGCTGCTCCACTCATCCCACCATCTGCTTCAATGGAAACCAAGGGGTAAGACTGGAATACTCAACTTGAACACCTGTTGACCCTCAGAAGTAAAATTGAAAACGGTGTTAAATGTGTCTTTTTATTCTTTGTTTGACAGAGAATCACTGTTCCTTGTTCAGACAATCGCGAAGAAGTCCGATTATTCACTTTTGAAGTGGCCAACGTTGCGCGCAACAATCCAAACGGAAGCTTTGACTGCGTCCAGCAGCTCCACAATGGGTAAATAAAAGATTATATTATTTTTCAAAAATGGTCACCAGAGCTCCGCCTCGCTCATGTCAACTAGCCTGGGAAGGAGGTCTGAATGTTGTAAAGGGCAAAACATGTCTGCTTTTACACCTTTGTCTGTGGTGAACACAAACAGTAGGTGTTAATGTCTGGCTTCTCTTATGAGGAGATGATAAACACAGTATTAATAAAAACACATTATTAGTCACTGCAGAGAGCTATTTAATAAGACCTGCAGCCTTCCAACCTTATTTTCCTTGGACAGTTAAAGCGCCATCATCTTCACTCTGGCTTGTATCAGTTAGTTTAGCGTAGCAGAGTTAGCAGCATACGCTAGTCAAGTGTGGCTAATGTATTTTAGCACAAAGGCTGTTGCTCATCCTGTTTACCAAGCTAAAAATCAATGTAAAATTTAGAACAGACAGCTACAGTAGGGTTGAGTGAAACGGCTCCTTTGAAGGTTTTGTTTTATAATAGAATTTCTGAGCTGATCCACATCAGGTCGACCTGTAAGATATGATGAACCCTTACAACGTCAGACCAGTTTCCTAGGCCTGACTTTGGGATTCTCTGTGAAGCAACACTTCAGTGACGAACACACCAGTGGAATATTTGTCAGTGTTTCTAAACTCAAGGCGTGGCTTTCCTACATGTTTAGGCTCCACAATGATGCCATCATTTGGAAGATTGAAACATAAGAGGGTGTGTGTGGAGATTATTTAACTAATCAGCAGATTACAGGCAACGGTTGAAATGGAAAATATGTTCTGTTTGATCCTGCGTTTCACAAACTAGTAGAATTGTAAATCCCACCCCATCATTTCAGTGGATGTTTTTTTTTTCTTTCCCTGCAGCCATTACATGATTATATGTTGACTTTGAAAGTCATCTGAATGATTTTCAGTGTGTGGTTTTTTTTTTCGTAATCGTCTGCGCTCCTGCTGCGAGAAATGTCGGCCTGCTGCTCACGTCTCTTCAAAACACTGAGCTTCTGACTCACTGATGGAGAGAAAAGTAAAGACACCGTTGAGGAAGTGAATTTGATGATTTGATTTAGGGAGCAGTGACATATTTAGGCATTGAGAACTGAATTGACTGTGCACTTCTTACTGTAATACCATTAAAAGCCTTTTAAGCTGCTGATTAAATTACAATAACTGAAGCTCAGTGTGTGTGTGTGTGTGTGTGTGTGTGTGTGTACCGTACGTCAGCTGGTGTAGCAGGATCGTCGACGTTACAGCAAATTAAACACTGGGATGTTCCCGCTACCTTGTAGCTTTTTACGTAGCCAACTTTTAGCCGTCTTTATAGCTAACCCTTTGAATAAATGTTAGAACAAAACTTTTTGATGTCCGTCACTAACTCGTACCTTTTCTGCGCTAACCTTCGGTTATGTTATGATAAATTCGTAACATTTGGCTAATCTAGAGGATGAAAAAGGATGAAAAATAGAATAGAGTCTAAACTAATGTTTACTAGATGGTTTAATTGCACTGGTCAAATCCCATTATTATGCACTGTGGTTAACTTGGAATTCTGATTGTCTAATTCTAATTTTGCTCCAGGTTTAAATGTTGGCTCCTTGAGTGACTGAGTTCGACTGCCCTGTCAGAGAGGTTGAGGGTTCTATGGAAGCCTGGCTGGACTTTTTATTTTTCTCAGAGTTGGTTGTATATTATACTGGGCCATACAAAGCCTCCACTATAAATATTTTATGGGTCTGTTGAAGCAGCAGGAGGACGTTGTTGCCCCGCTCTCGCCCCCCATCCTGTAAACCTCTGAACTTGCGGTGAACCAGTGTTGTACGTGGAACTTCAGGGTCTGTCTGTGTTCACCCTCCACCTCCTTTACCTCCTCCTCCACCTCCGTCTCTCAGAGCCTCTGAAGAGCTGTCATGTCTCGGGGTGATTCAGAAGAAGATGACGGTGAACGCCACAGATGACTCGTACGATAAGGCGCGTCAGAGCATGGCCCAGGCCGAGGAGGAGACGCGCAGCCGAGGGGCGATCGTCATCAAACATGGAGGACGCTACCAGGGTCAGTGTGTTACCAGATGCTGCACATGTTCTACAGCATGACAAACTGCTGCTGTGACAGAAACACCTCACAACCCACAGTCAGCCATATCAGTGGTTACCATGGTAACCAGTGACATAGTAACAGCAAGTCTTGATTTTTCTGAAGGTATTTTATCACTTTTTTCTCAGTCCAGTTTTTACCGTCAAATACAGGTTTTTCAATTTTATGCTCAAACTTTGATGACTTTTAGGACGGATCCTTTTTGGGATAACATTTCAGTGTTTTTTTTTTTTTTTTGGACTTCTAGCTAATTTTAGCCTCCTTGTTACATTTGAGTTACACACGAGAAAATGGTTTCGACAACCCACTCAACAAATACTAATTTGCACACGTACACACAGAACCAGCGATTTAGCTTTTTCTCTTTCTAATCACAAACCACTTCCTTCTTAATGGAGACACTATTGTCATGTTTCAGTGAACACGCACACACACACACACACACACACACACACACACACCGAGACGTGCTGCAGTTTTGATGATTTTGTCAGATGAACAGTGAGGGAGAAAAAAAAAAGCAGAACTGCAGGCTTGTGCAACATTTTGGTCATTTCCTAAAAATAGACCTCAGCGTGTGCTTCTTCTGTGTGCACTGTTGCGCACACACACACACACATACACAGTGTGCGTGTGTGTAACCTGGATGAGGTTGAATTGAGGTGGTTACTCTTTAACACATGATCGTGGAAAAAGGACAAACATGATGAGCTGCAGTTCCTTTAGCTGTTTGATGAAACACACACACGTTGAATATGGAAACACTCGTCACTTCTGGACATACAAGTTTCCTAATACATTTTTAACAAAGTAAAGGCTCGTCCTGCTGTGGGAGAATACTGGAGAGCACCTGGAGAAAGACGTACACACACAGGAAGACCACCTATAATCAAACAGGTGTTTTGTTGGGGTTTTTTTTTTTCAGTAAGTCAGGAACACTAACCACTCTTCCACCGCGTGATGCTGAGTGCTTTTAAACCGAATCAAAAGGTGCTTTCATGTTGTGTTAGATCACAGACGTGTATATTTACCCCAGTCCTTGGGCAACATTCTTTTGAAGATGATCTCACTTCATTCTGAGAAAGACGTCTCTTCATCTCAGATTTCCTGCTTCCCTGCAGGTAAAAAGGTAACAGTTCGAGCTCCAGCCCCTGCGTTGGCCAGTCTGACAAAACCCAAACATCAGTCGCCCCAGTCCATTCTCAGAAACATCCAGAAGGGGCTGGGGGTGTCCAGGGGGAAGAAGGCAACCTGCGTGTCCAGCAGGGGGAGCGGAGGTCCCGTTCAGGAGAGGCCGCTCAGGGAGAGGTTGACTCACCTGCTGGCTCTGAGGCCGTACAAGAGGCCGGAGCTGATCCTGAGGTTGAAGAAAGACGGACTTTCAGCTGAGGACAAGGACATGCTGGAGACTGTGGTGATGGAGGTGAGTTTGATCAACAAGTGTATTTTTTATTTATCATGGCTTTCTGGGTCTTGTTTACATGTAGCTAATATCTTGGCTCACTTTTAGCAATGACCGTTGATTTTTTTTTTTTTTAATCAACTTCTATTATAATCCTGGATCATTTTAAACTGTATTTTTAGGCCTGTTATTAATGTCTGTGTATTTTCTTAAGCATTGTCTCTATTTTCTATACTTAAATATGTGTTAGCTGAGTTTTAACTTGACTTTGACTTTTACATAGTTTTGCAAACTTCAAGCTTTTTTCAAACTTATTTATTGGCTAACTTTTATCCATGGTCTTGTATATTTTTTTTATTTTGTTTTGTTAGATTTTTTTGGGGCTTCTGGCTATTTTTACTTTAATTGAATGTTAATTTTAACAGTCAACTAGAGAGGGTTTTGGCTTTTAGCTAACTTTCGGTAACCACTGCTCTTGGTCAACCTTATGATATGGTAATTGAATAATTAACTGAATTCTGGGTTAAAGGTAAGTTACCTTCTTGACTGTTTTGAGCTACTTCAGCTAAATGTTGTGCTCACATTTAGCCATTTCCAGGTAAATTATAGTCTTGTCTTAACGAGGATAACGATAAGCCTCACAGTTTGCAGCTTTATTATGGGACTTGCTGACGATCCATTTTTGTTGCTGCGCCACCTGCAGGTCGGGCAGCTCAACAGTCGAGACAACACATTTGTTCTGAAGGACAGTCTGTACAAGGAGCTGCAGAAGGACTGGCCGGGCTACACTGAGGGAGACCAGCAGCTTCTCAAGAGGATCCTCGTCAGGTAACACCGACGTGGACACATGTACACTGACACATAGTAACCTCACACAATACACACTCTGTGTGACCGGCAAACAAGCTCTTGTCCCCTGACTCAACAGGCAACCCCACAAAGCTAGGTACATTCAAATACATGTACCTATAATACTACAATAAAAGCAGGTGTGTAGTAATTGTATATTCCTGCCCAAATCCTTTGTACTTTACCTCCGTGTTGGTGCTCTAAGAGGCTAGAGGGTTAAATGTTTTTGTTAAGGCCATTGCTATTGGTGAGCAAATATAGACTGTTTCCACAACATAAAGATGTCCATGTTTGGACATGTAGCAGAGCAGATTGTTCAGTGAGCTCAAATTAGCTCAGTTTGAGGAAATGCAGCCTCTGTGGGAGTTGAATTCAGGAAACAGCGGACACCGACATTTGCAGTATTCCTTCAGTGTTACAAAGAATACAAAGAAAATAGGCAAATATCAGCCATGGAATTTGAAATTTGACTATCACATTTAATATGTTTCATCGTCATATCATCATTCAAAACAGTAGTCCTCATCACAGGTATAAAAAAAAACAATTCTGCCTCTGCCTGCTAACGTTATTTTACCTGCTAACAGGAAAGCCATCTTTGTGGCTATGTTTTTATTTACTGATGTGCAAAGATGAAATCTTGGACTAAGCTCAGCTTTAACCTCTACAGCTCGGGCGGCATCTACTTTAGACACTTTAGGGCAAAAGTCCCCAAACACTGGGGCGTGGACTGTTACAGTGTTCCGTGGTACTCGGCCGCAGAGAAAAAAAAAAAAAAAAACTTTTTTTTTTTTTTTTGAAGTGGAACATTACCATTCCACTCGACAAGCCTTACTAACATCCAACAGTTCTCTTTGTGAGGCACCTGTATATATTTTTTTTTCTCTGTCTTTGCAGGAGGTTATTTCAGCCTCAACAGAACCTCCTCACCGCCCCTGAGGCCCAGGTCAGCCCACTGAGAGACACCCCTAATTCCTCACCAGCACACCGTCCTAAACATTCCCTGCCTGAGGAGTACACTGACCCTCTGGCCAACAAGAAACCCAGGATATCTCACTTGTCCAGAAAAGGCGACAAATCTAGTTTGAGGACGTCTGAAGCAGTTTTTCATAAGAATGCTGTAGAAGTGAGAACAGAAGACAGAGAAGGGAAGAGGGACTCACTAGACCCTCGAAAGCTCTTTGACTCTTTGTCGGCCACCTGTTGGCAGGAGGAGGAAGAAGAGAAAGAGGAGGTGGCCAAAAGGCTCGAGCCGAGTCCCTGCGCCCTGGAGGAAGCTCAAAGTTTAGAAAATCACCGTCGTCCTGACCCTGATCGGCCTCCGTCACCTCTGATTGTTCCTGTTCTGAGTAAACGCACAGCAAAAAGGAAAAAGAGCAAACACAAACACAGAAGACAGGTAGGTCTGTTCATCCCGGGGGATTACAGATGTTTCCAGAGATGTTTAAGGCCTCGACCTAAAGCTTCAATATTTGTGTTATGAAGGAGAAGGAGAGGTGGAAGAATAACAAGAGCAGAAATGATCACAGTGCAGAGGAGACAAACACCCAGATGGATCTGAGCGGCTCTGCAGACTGTGGTGAGCTGGAACTCACTCCATTGTTTTTTTATTGCTTAAATAATTTTTTTTTTTTATTTGCTGACATGAGCCGTCTCTGTTTTAGAGCCACGTGAAATACTGTTCACTTCTGGAGCGCTGGGCGCTAACACTGACGCAGCCGATTATTTAATGTAAGTACTTTTTTACTGATGATTCTGTGGAAAATGTTTACAAAACAGGAACTTTCCTTCCTGAAGTTGATTCTTTAAAAGAAGGCACTTCCCCTCTAGATGTGTTCTCCTCACTGTGCGCCCCCTACTGTCTCCTCACAGAAAGTACACCGTGATTTGCAGCCACGAACAGAGGCAGGGCTACAAGCAGGACTTTAACAAAGAGTACGACGAATACCGTGACCTGCACGCTCGCATCGACGGCGTCACTCGGCAGTTCTTGGACTTGGACTCGCAGCTCAAACAGCTGCACCAGGAATCGCGTAAATACAAGTAATTTATGCGGAATACTTTGATGTGCTCGTGCATTAAGAACAAAACGACGTACTTTCTGTCCACTGTCGGCAGTAGTCTTTTTAACCACGGTTTGAGCAGTTTGTTCTCCATTAAGTCTTTGACTCGACCTTATTTTAAAGTGAGTTGTAAATGAATGATTATACAATGTAACCTGAAAAACCATAAATATGGAACCAGAGACAGAAGTAAGAAACAGACAAACTCGTCTAGTGTCTTCACATTTTAGGTGTTTTTAACAAAGGAATAGTAGTATTTATATTTTACATTCAGAATGAATATCTTGGAGTATTCACAGATGGGTTACACTGCTTTTACCCCTCTCTGTAGATCCTATTAGATACTAGACAAGAAATGCTAGATCAAGAGGTTGAAAAACAGGGGTTGAATAAAAGTGATGTTGTAATTGGAGTATTTCTTTTTTTCAGATTATACTATGTGGTAGTAAAATCTGCTTTATTGACAAATTGGTAAAATGTGCAGTTTTAAACCCAACACTGGAGCAAAACATAATATTGCAAAACTGGCAGAAAGAGGAAACATTCATTTTAATTTCATGTATATTTTCTCCAGTTATTATAGATTCCAACTACTGTGTTTATGATGATCAGGTGACCAGGTGTTTTCATATCAGTCTCCTATTATTCCCAGCTGCTGGTGCAACAACAATTAGCCTTTAAAATTAAAGACAGATAATTATGTTTGGTTATCAAATTATGTTTGGTTATTGAAAGGGTTAAAACGTTGTCATTTGAAACTTGTTGAAATTGTGTACAATGTATCAAAGGGTTAAAACGTTGTCATTTGAAACTCTGTTGAAATTGTGTACATGTACTATGTATCGTAAAAATGTCCCTGTCCGTGTATTTCTCTCTTGCAGACGGTCCGTAATCAAATATTTCAAGAGTATCGCAAGATTAAAAAGGTAAGGACTATCAGAAGACGTAACCTCTGCACATAGACTTATGTCTATTCAGTCACACAGTGACACCTAGCGGTCGTTTTTTCTCTCCACATTCAGTCCAATCCAAACTACAACCAGGACAAGATCCGCTGTGAGTACCTTCACAACAAACTGGCCCACATCAAGAAGCTCATATCAGAGTACGACAACCAGCAGCTCCTGGACCATTCCTGTCCTAAATGATGAGCAGAAATTCGCTGGCATGAGTGAACTGAAAACACGCACATCCTGATGCAGCTTGCTAAGCTGAGTGCCGTCAAGCTGGGTCGGAAGTTCTCAGCTAAATCTGTTCTTCTCTCCCGAGACCTGCTGGAGGAGGCGACGAAGAGCAGCAGAGAAGCGCCAGGGGGATTTGTTGGACCTCTGAGGGGACGAGGACACTAGGAGGAGGAGACAGTTGTCTCGACGCTGAATGGAGTCAGTTTAATTTGCTGACAGAGGCAGATTGTACTTTAAGTAGTTTTGTCAGTAAAATCAAGCATTTTCTTCTGTGTACTTTTGACCCTGGGACTATTTCAGATGGGAGTACCACAGAATTCTGGCTGTACATACAGTATAAGACATGGTGTTTTTCTTCTGTGGCCACAGAAATAAAACACTGAACATCTGTGCGTTGGTATTTTTCAAGTTTCAGTCATTTCTAACCTGATCAGTGTTGTTTTTAGTCAGGTCTCCTCACTTCAGGCCTCAACAGTGACTTTTTAAAGTATTGTCAGCACCTGTTGTGGTTATGTGGGTCTGGTCTGGATTCATGAAGTTCCACTTCTTTCATCCTCTCTGTGGTTCTCATTCTTCATTTCTTATGACATAAATGACTGTTCTGTTAATGTGAACATTGTATTCAGGGAATTCACAGTGTCAGCTGCAGTAAACTGATCATCAAAGTATGTTTTCATGTAAGGTATTGAAATTTATGATGTTGTTAATATGAGCAAGGATGGTAAACAATTGAGAAAAAAACGATTTTTTTCTTGCATGCAGAAAACCTTCCAGAAATGCATGAGGAATAAACAGACTTTCTGTCAAACTTTGAGGTAATTTCCTTTTGTTATTAATTGTGTGAAATGTCTTTTCATATGAGTAACAACCACTCTTTACTTTAGTTTATTAAAACAAACTAAACGAGGCTAAAATGTTGTTTTTCCACTCGTTTGGCTTCTAAAAAACGTTAACTGGGTTCCTCTCCTTAAAAATGCTAACGGGTTCACCAAAACAGAAGGACGAAGAAAGGAGAAATACGAATAATATTTACGAATATATATTACGAATAAATTGACCTCAGTGATGGATAAAAGTTAGTTAATTGCTATATACATTTTAAAAAAGGATTTAAAACGAGATAAATTGGTTTGTTTAATAATGGTTAATGGACTACAGAAACTAAAGAATAGCTTAAATGTTAAAAGATAAATGTTTTCAGTCAGAAAGAGTTTAAAATTAGCAAAATATCAAAATACGACATGGTTTAATAACAGCAAAAATAGACCCCAAAAAAAACCCAACCAAATTCTATAAAAATAACTTACATATCAAAATACGACATGGTTTAATAACAACAAAAATAGACAAAAAAAAAACAACCAAATTTTATAAAAATAACTTGATAGATTACAGTTATTTTTCCGCAGATCTGATTGGCTTTTCAGTTCAATTGTCACCACCCTTTTCCGGTGACTGTTGACTGACTACGTCCTCTAATTGGTCCGTTGTTTGTATCACGAACTTTTACCCCGCAGTCATGGTGCCGACTTCCGGGTAAATACCATAACAACAGTGTGACTCTTGGAAGAACCTCACCTGTCCTGGACTCTGTGACCGTCTTCACGCCGAGTTATGTCACAAAACCATGCGGACATTTCTTGCTAAACACACGTAAATGGTAAGTGTCAGTTTCAGACTGTAGTGCGCTAACACAGCTAGGCTAATTTTTGTCACAGCTGAAAGGTCTTTGTAAGCAAAGCAAGTGTTTTCATTAAAGGGTTTTCTTTTTCGAAAACTAATTGAAATACTTTAATATTAAATGTTACGTTAATAAATACAACATGTTGTAATGTCCTTTATCTAGTGACCAGGTAAATACAACATGTTGTAATGTCCTTTATGTAGTGTAGAATAATAGCATTTTGTGACAGCCAAGGAAACAGAGTAAACAGAGTAGAGAAACAGAGTAAAATTAAATATAAACTACATCAAACTAAATATTTAATTCACATTGGTGAATGGTTAGGAACATATAAATTATATACTTGTTCCCCTTAACTCTCTTTAACTTGTTGTCTTTTTAAAAATAGCATATAAAGTCAAAACATTGATAACAGAATGACTTTTATATATATAACCTTTATGTAATCAGAAAGTTATAATTGTAGAAAACTTGCGGTCACGTGACAACGGAACAAGACGATAATGTCAGGGTAAAATGTAAAGAAGTAATTGACAAATTTACAATATAATAGTCTAAAAGCTGACTGTGTGTTGGCTGGAAATGTGGTGTTTTTAAAGCAAATGTTAAAATGAATAACTACAATGTGCAGCAGGAGAATGACATGTGCTGACAACATTATTACCAGATGGACTTGTTGAACTAGTAAGTGTTCCAGACCAACATATGCTTATAGTTAAAATGCAATCTTACAAATGTGAAGGAGGTAATTGTGAGTCCACACCCAACTGCTGTTTCAAAGGTTTTAAGGACTCTTCTTGAGTCCTTGAGTCCAACCAATCACTAATGGTTGATTATTAGACGTCCTGTAATTACTTCTAAATCTAAAATATTCAAATGTTCTACCAAGTTTGGATTTGTTTTTAATAGACTATCTAATTAAAAATAACAACCTTTTCTTTATCGTCTTTTTCTTTCATCATCAGCTCCACATTCACTTCCTTGAGAGATGGCTGGGATTCATATCCTACGAACTTCACGACTGAGGTCAACACTCAGATATCTGAGCCGTTTCAGCTCCATCTCTTTGACAGCCAGACCCACAACCTTGTCTGTGAACCTCTGCAGTCGTTTTCTGTCCTGCAGCCACAGGCATCAGGTGCATGCTGGGAATGATGGACAGAAGGTGTCTCCTTCTGCAGCTCCACAGAGGCTGTCTTTCTCCAGATTGACTCAGGATGATTTGGCCTTTTTCAAGAAGGTCCTACCAGGAAGGACGGTCACTGACCCAGATCTGCTGGAGTCCAGTAATGTTGACTGGCTAAAATCGGTGAAAGGTGACGGCAGAGAATTATTTGTCTTATTTTATTAGAGTTCCATTATAACTTTCATATTTTTAAAAGTATGTCTGTTCTGCAGGATCTAGTGAGGTGTTGTTGAGACCTGAAACGACAGAGGAAGTCTCTCAGATTCTTAGGTAAAGAATAAATTACATGATAAAGTCGGAATTCAGAAATATATATTTTTTCCCCCTGTTGTTGAGCTATATACTATGGTAGTGTTAATCTTGCACAGGCAAAAAGGCATTGATAAAAAATTATAGTAGAAAATCCCACATTTTGAGCTTTGTAGAAACATCTGACTTCTAAATTTTCATTTTTAATGCTTTGAAGCTAAAATTATTACTAACCCTAAAAACAACATATTAGCTTCTGTTTTATTACCATCATAAACTGGCACAAAGGGATTAACAGTTGGCTAAAAGCAGTACTGTAAAAGAGCTTCCTTTTGAATTATTGTAACTTTTAATCTTAAAATATGTTTTTAACATTATATTTATTTGTTACACAGATTTTGTACTTTCTTGCTAACAGCAAAAATGGCCTAGTGGTAAGAGAGTTGGGATTGTAATTAGAGGATTGCAGATCATGTGCAACAAAGGCTATTCTTCTTTTACTCTTCTTTTTCTTAAAAATTAAATAGCTGTTACTAGAGCACCCTCTGCTGGATCATATCTTGTTTTATTTATTTTTTTCATCATAACGCTTGAACTTTGTTAAAAAATATCAGATTTGTGTTTACATGTTGTCCTTTTTGTAGTTATTGTTACAGTCGCAACTTGGCCATTACCCCTCAAGGTGGCAACACTGGGCTGGTGGGGGGGAGCGTTCCAGTCTATGATGAGATTATTCTCTCTACTGCTCAGATGAATAAAATCCTTGGCTTTGACAGCGTCTCTGGTAAGGATCCACGTGAATGTTTTTCCTGCTACAGGTAAATGAAGGTCCTTTTGAATGATACATTTTAACTTTATTATGAACGTAACCTATATTTCCAGGTATTCTGAGCTGCCAGGCAGGCTGTGTCCTGGAGAACTTGTCTCTGTATCTGGAGGAAAGAGACTTCATCATGCCTCTGGATCTGGGTTCTAAAGGAAGCTGCCAAATTGGAGGAAATATTGCCACTAATGCTGGTGGACTGCGGCTGCTGAGATACGGCTCCTTACGAGGAACTGTTCTGGGTCTGGAGGTGGTGAGTAAAGGGGGAGATAACCTTGAAACATTAGCTTGAAAAAGCCTCAAAAAATTATTTTTATCTAAAATTGAAAAAATCCAAAGGTTTGCCCAGAGGTTGAAATGTTTAAAAAAACATTAATAGAAATAGGTCAAAGGATAAAGAAAGAAAATAAAGAATATTTAGCTTAGAGATATCTAATAGTAAGATTGCTAAAAGTTGATTAAAAAAAGCCTAAGTACCCTGATCTGTCCCAGGGGCCAGAGTTTGGACATATTTAGTAAATGAATACCCCAATTAGACTGAAACCAACTGTGTGTGTGTGTGATGTGCAGGTGTTGGCAGATGGGCGTGTGCTGGACTGTCTGAACAAGCTGAGGAAAGACAACACAGGCTACGACCTCAAACAGCTGTTTATTGGCTCAGAGGGAACGCTGGGCGTCATCACAGCAGTGTCCATCCTTTGTCCTCCAAAACCCAAATCTGTCAACGTGGTTTTCCTGGGTCTGAATTTCTCCTTACATCCCAAACCTGAGTGCAACACTGCCAACGTTAACGTGGTAATCAGACTCTGGTTCTGTTTTGTTTCTCAGGCTGTGAGAGCTTCCAGAAGCTCCTGCAGACGTTTCAGCTCTGCAAAGGCATGCTGGGAGAAATCCTCTCAGCTTTTGAGTTCCTGGACAGTGAATGTATGAGGCTGCTGAACACACACCTGAAATTAGCCAATCCTATCTCGATTGGGTCGATACTCACACACACACACACAGCATATCAGTAAATCAGCTGGTCTTTATCAGATCACCCGTGTCTATAAAGGTATCTGGAAGTACTACTGACATGAAACACTGTGTACTGTGTACTGGCAAAACAAGCTTCAAATTCATAGAAATGCATTAATGATAGAAAAGCTCTGCTCACTTTCTGGTCAGTAGGCTGAGTGTTAGATGTACACAAAGTTAGATTTTGTTCAACCTTTTTATGTTATTATTTTTCTGTATTTAAATCTTAGTGTTATTTATACTTTCATACTCATTTATACTTGTAGAGTAAAAACTGTAATTGGACAACTCCAGTAATCAGTGAAAATATAACCATGTGGTCCACTTCCCCACCGTCCAGATTGTCCATTTTACATCGTCATTGAAACCTCGGGGTCGGACTCGACACACGACGAAGAAAAATTGCACAACTTTTTGGAGAAAGCGATGACATCATCGCTGGTCGCCGATGGAACTGTGGCAACTGAGGACGCGAAAATGAAGGTGAGTGGGAGAACTGAGGACACAGGAGACACATGGGAATAAGTCAACAACATCTTCTCTGTCCAATGTCTTCAGACCCTGTGGTCCATGCGTGAACGTGTCACTGAGGCTCTGACCCACGAGGGCTTCACCTACAAGTACGACATCTCACTTCCTGTTGAGCAGATCTACCAGCTGGTCACAGACATGAGGTCACACCTGGGGACCCAGGCCAAGAGCGTGGTGGGATATGGACACGTCGGTGAGACGCAGACTGAAGTGTAGAATAAGGACAAGTCAAGTAGCTTAACGAGCTAATCATTCCAAATAATGCAGACCCCCCCCCCCTCCCCAAGAAGGCTAACTTAAAGCCATGCAGATGTTCTTCTTCAAATCACAGACTTCAACCCACAACCTCTTCACCTTGTCTTTCCCTCCACAGGGGATGGAAACGTCCACTTAAACGTCACTTCACCAGCCAAAGACCCCGCTCTCCTCGCCTCCATCGAGCCTTTTGTCTACGAGTGGACGGCCCAGCGTCAGGGCAGCATCAGTGCTGAGCACGGACTGGGGCTGAAGAAGAGGAACTGCATCTACTACAGTAAAGGCCGTCCAGCTGTGGCCCTCATGGGGGACATCAAGGCCATGCTGGATCCCAAAGGCATTCTGAACCCGTACAAGACCCTACCAGACGATGTCAGATGACCCACAGATGAGTCACAGCTCACGGGTAAGTGAAGTTCAGTCCACAGCTAGCACGCTACATCACATTGGTACGACAGCTCACTACGACCAACTGACCAAACTACTACGTTTCTAACAGATGTTCTGGATATTAACCTAGGTGTGGCGCTGTGGGCCTGCTTTCATTATAGTTGGCCAAACACTGAGGTGTCAGTAGGACACATCCAGTATCACAGGATTTGCATGTGTCATGTGGAAATGTGTCTTCAATAATCTGTGGTCAATGTCATTAATGTCCACAGGAGGGCGTTTGACACATTTAAAATGTTTAACTGCAGCCACGGCACTGCTGGCAGGAATATAAATGTTTTTAAGTAGCAATTTCTGACCTTTTGAGAACTCCCACTGTGTTTTGGTTGAAGTGCGCCCTCTGGTGGTTGAATTCAAACCTAGATGTGGCGTGAGATGCAGAGAAATACTAAGCAAATGGAAAAAGGCAGATATTGAAAAGAAATTGTCTAACATTAAAGTGAATTTGAATTTAAGTTTCTCTCTTTACATACAAATCCATGTGATAATAGAGTGATAAATAAATGCAATGGTACTTGATTCAAAGCCAACAGATCTTTGAGATAGCGACCGACAGTGCTACTTTTGTGTAGCAATACATCTCTAATAAAATATCTTTAAATTTGAATTGTTAAATCCAGCAGCTACATTTCTAGCAATACATCTCTAATAAAATATCTTTGAATTTGAATTGTTAAATCCAGCAGCTGTTGTTAAAACTACCTACATTTCCTTCCTAATTTTCACAAAATCACATCCAAACCAGTTTATAGATAAGCGGGATTGCAGTAATTGTTTTATTACATTTATATATAAAAAAACAAAGCAACATTTCAGAAGAGACCCAGCATTTGTGAAACACATTTGTTTTTTAACAACACACTTGGAAAAGGCAGCAGTTTGTCAAATCCAGCTAAATAACAACCAGAGTTCTCCATACATCCGACAACCAGCTGGTACAGTGTGGCATGATGGGAGATGATGAGGAGCAAATGGAAGCCCAGCCCTCTACAGTAGGACACTGCGGTTCCTCCCATAGAGAAGAGAAAAACAGCGCCACCCACAGCAGGTCTTTCTTCATTCTTTCTACAGTTAATCTTTTTAAATCAGCCACAGTGAGTTTACACAAGTTCACCAGACACAGAGTAAAAGTTTGTTTAAATTCTTATTATAAGATACGTAATTATTCCTATAGTCTGACATTTTCCTTAATCCAAGAACCACCAGTTATTATACAGCATGTAGTGTTTGTCCTGTCCTTAGCTAACATCCAGTGTTTGTCCCGTCCTTAGCTAACATCCACACAACCAACTTTGGTTTTAATGACATTGTAGGTATACAGTGTTCGTGTGTGTGTGTATCCAGTCTGTTTCACACCACACCAGTCTTATGTGTCCTCAGTAGTGTCTAGCAGTACAGCTTTAATATATAAATATCATAATACATTTAAAAAGTAAAAAAACAACAACATTGTCTCATCCATTGGCTCCACTTCCTGTTTGTAGTGAATGTATTGTGAAGTAGTGGTCTGTACTGTTTGTGTGTGTGCTGATAAAGCAGGTCAAATATTGATAAAGGAGTCTCTGTCTCAGTAGTCTCTGAGTGACACAGTTTCACTGCCTCAGACAGCAGTGGCTGAGGACCAGTATTATAGACTCTATGGGTCGTGGACCAGATTTGGAGCAGCGTTGAATTAAAGCGTGGACAGGCCTGGACCGGTTTCTAGTTCAGACACTGAAAAAAAATCATGGTTTCAAAATCGCTTCAATTGACCATCATACCGTTCCTGCAGTATGAGCTCTCATTAGCACCCCCTAGAGTTACTATCAATATATAGTTACTATACTGTCAGCTGTGTATGACTTCAGATGAGTTAAGTTTATTATAAGATTATTTTTCAACCCATCTGCCATGTGGTAAAAGATTAGTTCAAAGTTGACTTTTAGCAAAATATCAGCCCCTGTTGTGGTGATTCAGACACAGCTTTGTTAGCTTTAAGCTAATCTGTAGCACAGTGGTGTCGACTTGTTCTCTAGCTACAGTTCTACAGTGTAAACCATCCACTGACGGATCCCGTTAAGACTGACGGAGGCCTGGAGGAAGCACAACAGTGACGCTGTACAAGTCAAGTGAGTTGACAGTGGACAGACTGGAGAACAGATGAAGACGTTGCTCAACTCTCAGTTCTGCTGTAAATGCTGATGTTCAGCAGACGGACGTGTGGAACAGACTGTCTCAGTCAGGACTGACGATGATGAATGTGTGATAAAGGTCATCGTCGTATCAACCACCAACAGTTCCACTTTGATATTTATCACAAACACCAGAAGCCTCTTAGAAGAATGACCTCTTTTACTGCTGTTAAAATACGTCATTCCTGGCAGTAGTAGTATTGAATTATACACCATACAATAGTGTATAATATAATTCAAGTTTGTTTTCTGATCTACAAGTTCATTTGTTGTTTGTTCCTCTGACCCTGAACCCTGGGGTTTGGGGTCAGAGGAACAGGTCAGGGTTTCATCTAGTGTGAAAACAGGACTGTTGATTTCACTATGTTGACCACTGACTAGAAGGAAGGAAGCGTTACTACAAGTTTGTGAAACTGTGACATTTATCAATTATGGCAACACCTATATGTTAAGATTAAAAACTAACTACTAACCTGCTGCTGTTATTATAATTAGTTGTTTCATATTCAGCTCCAGCAAATACGGTGTCATAGTATTGATTATAGTCGGGCGCCCCCAATGACCCCCTCATTGTGTTTTTTTTTTCCTGAGGCGTTACAGCATTACCCCTCCAGCAGATGGTGCAGTAGGCCACCGCCCATGTGGCCTATGCAAAGAGCCAGATTGATTTTTCTTTTTTAATGAAGGATAATAAGGGACTGATTTACTAATCATTAACATGTCGCAGCTTGTTACTGGTCACTTTGTATTTCTGTTCATGAGGTGTAGCCAAAATCACCATGAATACTGACCTTGCCCATGCCAAGGTATTGGGATGGAGAAGTACCATCAACAGTCCATGATGTTGACTCTGTGTAACAGTCCAGATCACATCTGTGTGAACACAGCAGCCACAGGTTTGTGTCGTCTGGTGAAAACCACCTGCTCAGATAAATATGTGTGGACTTTGAATCAGTCAGACAGACGGATACGATGTCAGAGGAAGGTGACCGACGCCGCACGGCGACCGGAGCTGGATGACACTGGGACTCGTGTCCTCGGCCTGTTCTGCTGATGGTCCTTTATAATAATTGCGAAGCCCTTCTCCTGAACCGACCCCCGCCCCTGACACCGGGCTGCTGCCTCAGGAGCTGCTCTCATGACTCTTTACCCTTCTCCAGAGAGAGGTGGATCTTATCCAGAGTCTTCTTAATGCGCAGAGCTGTCAGCCTGGCTGAAGGATTCTGGTACCAACACTCCTTCATCAACTTAACCAGGGCAGAGAGAGTCTGTCAGAGAGACCACCACAGACAGAGAGAGAGAGAGAGAGTCAAACTGTGATCCACTTACAGTGACAAAGACAATCAGACTACAGCAGTTTTGACCTGACGTATTAGGACAGACCACAGTCTCCTTTGTTTTTTTAATTATTATTTTTAATTTTGCACTTCCAGCTGATGGATTGTTTAATAACTTCATAATCAGCTTCTCCAACATCAGCATTCATTTTTACTGGGCCCCAGAGAAACATGTAATGTGATTGCAGAATTGGATAAAGTCACAGTGGAACAGAGATCGGTTTTTATTTGGGCAAATGATTGTCATTAACTAAGACTTGATGGTAATTGTAACTAAAGAAAATTCAGGTGGTAAGAACTAAATACTAGTGTTTCAAATGAACAACGAAATCTCTCCAAAAAAAGAAAAAATCCCCTAGTGTCTAGTTTAAAGTACTGCAATTCTTTAAACCCCCAGCAGCAGAGTGTGCTGCAGATAGGAGACATGACGCAGCTGTATATTAGCAGCAGACAGGAGGACTGAAGACTGAACTAAGAGGAGTTGGTTCACCACAGTTGGATCGAGGTTTGTTAAAAGATATTTTACTAAGAAATAAAAAACACTCACAGGATCAGAAAACCAGCGATTAGGAATAAACGGCCTCTGCTGCTCCACACACACCACCTTCCTCATGTCTTCGAAGCTCGGGTCGTTTGGCACCTGATCATAAAACGGGGGTTTGTAATCCTCAACAATACCTGCACAGAGAAGAGGGATAAAAACAAGATAAATATGGCACAAACAAAGCAAACAGCTGACCAAAGTGAAGACTGAACACAAACACAACAGTCACCGTTGCTGTAGGTGCGTCGTGCGATCTCCCACAGCACCAGTCCGAAGGCCCAGATGTCCACTCTCTTGTAGGCATCGAAGCAGTCTGTCTGAATGGTCTCGTCCAGAACTTCACTAGCCATGTAGCGCTTGGTGCCAACCTTTGGGTTGTTGCCCACGTCCAACAGATTGTCGCTCTGGGAGTGGGTTACAGCCAGCCCTGTGAGACAGAATGAGGAATAAATACACAATAATGATCCCATGATGCAGTGTTCTAATTTAAATGACAGGGCTACAAAAAAGATTTTACTAATGCTGTTTATCAGATGTATTCCCTGACAGTGATCTTTAGTATGTTATAAATGACATCATTTGCTGTCATGGTAAAGACTAATCCTTAATTAGAATTATTTTCTTTTTTTATTGATCTGACATTTTAAAAACAATTTACCAAATATTGCTTTTTAAAAAAATAGCTTGCCTTTAGCAGTTTCTTTGCTTCAATAACACTCTAGCCATTTTCTAAGTTAATGTATCCTATTATTAGCTGTACGCTGGCTAAATGACTTTTTTGTGGCTAACCTTTGATTGATCATCAATTTTAATTTTTTTTTTATCCAGTAATGTGTAATACAACACTTTAATAGAACTTAATTTTTCTTTTTTTTACCACAAATTGACCCATAACAATGTGTCTTTGCTGCCACTTTACACTCAAGAGTGTATTGATACAGAGTATTGATTATTTGACGTCATATCAGTAGAAAGACTTTTGACTGACCCAGATCTGCGATGCAGCAGCGCAGCTCCTTTGTGACCAGGATGTTTTTGCTCTTCAGGTCTCGGTGTGCGATGGCCGGTTTCCCCTCGGTGCCGAAGATCTCCGTGTGCAGGTGAACGAGGCCGCACGCTATCGACGCCGCCATCGCCAGACCCTCTGTTGTTTCCACGGCGACTCGTTGCAAGTAGTCATAAAGTGATCCGTTCTCGTGGTAGTGGGTGATGAGCCACAGCTGGGTGCTGGAGTTTCGGGATGTCATGTCAGACGCCATGAAACCTGAGAATCAACATGATATAAAAAAGCACGCTGCATGTCAGAGAATCAACATGATATAAAAAAGCACGGGACGCTGCATGTCAGTCACGTCTGTCACAGGGTGTTTATTTTATTGTTGTTATTAAATTCAACTGCTGATTTTTAATAACACGTTGGGTTTGTTAGTATTTGTGCTCAGAACAAAAGTGGTGAACAGAACAAATGAGAAAATCCTGCTACTTAACACAGGAAGTATTGTAATAAAAGACAAGAGATTGTCTTATATAGACAAAAACAAGTATTTACGTGTTACTTTAATTCACATTCGACTGTTATTTATATTATTTACTGATCACTTTTTAATTTTGGACTCACCCAGTATATTTTCATGTCTTAGCAGCACAGTGTTGTAGATCTCTGTCTCTCTGAACCAGGACTTCTCATCTCTGGAGGAGAAAATCTTCACAGCGACGTTCTCTCCCTGCCACTGTCCCCGCCACACCTCTCCATACCTTCCCTTTCCTGGGAACAAAAGAAGAAAGCAGTAAAGAAAGTGAGAACAAATATCATTCTGATTTTTTTAAATAAAAAATTCAAACGGCATATTGAGAAAATCACTCAGTTGACGTTAAGTTGAGTTTTTACACGTGGTTCCATAGTGTAGCAGTTACCCATCACACCTGCCTTACATGCAGAGGAAACACATACTCAATGGTGCCTCTTGTGGCAGCCTATGTGGGTCCCAAAGACTCAGTAAATATTATTTTTTAATGAACCCATTAATAATTATATAAATATGTATATAATGGACTTTTCTGGTATGTGTCTGTATATGTTTTCAGATCATATTAGTAATCTGGGTGGAGTGTTTTTTTTTTCTTCTTTCCTGGACGTAGATCAGATGTTTCTACATCAGTGGCAGAAACACAGCAGGAAACAAACTGTGGCCAATTTCAAACTAGTTCAGTCTGTACTGTACTGCAGTGAACTGTCGCACCAAACAGGATCCCACAGCATCTGACCCACATACTGGCATTTAAACTGTAAAGTGTCTGTGAACGTCACAATGCATTTTATGTTAACAAGACAGTCAACTGCACAGAAGTCCAGAACAAAGTGACATTTCAGTCTGTGAGAAATTAAATTAACTGGAATTAGAGAAAAGCAGAATTCAGGACAAAAATAATCATTTATTGGATGACTTACAGTAATCTAAAAAAAACAACAACACTCTGAACAGAGAGAAACAGGATAAAGATGAGGACTACAGAGACGATCCTTGTTTTTCTTTTCTCTGTCAATTTGCTTGATAACTGAACACTGCCGTTAGAAACTTACCTACACACTCCACCAGACTGATCTGCCGGGCCACAGTTCTCTGGACCAGGAATGGCAGACCGGAGCCACTCCCGGACGTACACGAGTGGGACAACAGGTCCTAAAGACGGACACAGGAATGAGCACGGCAGGAAATAACATGAAATTTGGCAGATTTTTTTGTTTATGCTCCAGTGAGGAAGGTGAAGCGGTGTCTCTTACTGCTAAAGTGCTGTCGCCCACGTTGGAAGAGATGAGCCCGTCTATGGCTCCCTGCTCGGTGTCGAATTCCTGCAGCCGCTGCAGACGGCCGTGATGGAGCCTCCTGCAGGCCAGCACGGATACGACAGACAGCAGAGCCAGAACCACCACTGGGCCGAGCACGAAGAGAGCCAAGGTCTCAACACGGTACCGTACTGGCTCACCTTCTGGCTCATCTTCAGAGGACGAAGGCACGGGGTAGAAAAGAGGAACAAAAAGATGAATTTCTGTCTGGCTACAGACCACAGCCACTCCATCTGTCCCCTCTGATCCACCTACCTGAGGGAAGCAGCGACATGAGAGAGTATCCGCTGACGTTGCTGTTGCACATGTTCTCCGAGCAGCAGATGATCGCCTGACGGGAGGACGGAGCAGTGGAGCAGTGTAACTGGGTTTTCTCCAGACCGTTGAGGCAGCCGTGCTCAAACTCCACCCCTTCTTCTCCACTGCCACCGCCGTCCACTTTGACGGAGGAGAAGCACTGCGTTCCCTGGCAGCGTGTGACCTGCGGGCATGTTCGGCTGTGACACAGACACACCAACTGTCCATCTGTGGAGCAGGAGATACCGGTTTCATTATGCGCTCCTGCTGTTTCACACAAACACAGGATTTATAGAAGTGGCAGGGAGCCAAACGAGAGGTTCGCACCAACTTTCTCTCCAACAACACAAACAAGTGAGGACGAGTCCATCTGGTGAAGTGCAACTAAACACGTATTAGCAAAAAAAAGGACATTCTCAGAGCAAGAGGGCTATCACCACTGACTACTTGTCAACAGAAGAATCACACCCTATTGTTTTCACCCAAATGTTGCTCATTTTTTAATGCTATAGCATTAATGTGAACTGCAAAACAACATTCAGAGATTAGAAACAGAGAAAACCATGGGATGAAAATCCACCATTGGAGTTCGCTCGCACATTTAGGCTGCGTTTTCATAAAACTGAACCTGAAGTTATCAGTTTAAAATGACAGGATTTATCCTTTATGTTGTCCAAAAAAATGTCTGAATATACTGAGCAGTCTACCTGAGCCCTCGGCTGATGTCTGCAGGGCCAGCAGCAGGAGCAGCAGGAGGACATGAAGGCTACAACCACCCATGTTTCAGTGCACTGACTGTAGGAAGAGAAGGAAAAACGAAGAACAGTTGGTAAGCTTTCATACGAGTTCAACACTGTTAAGATTGTTATCACAATCCTTCTATAGTTTGGACTCATCTTCGTCTAAGAAGATGAAAAATTCATTTAGCCCATAATGTTCCAACAGTGATCAGTGATCAAGATTCATGTTACAGTATATGCACAATTAATTCTCAAATGTTTAAGATATTTCAAATACAATTTCAAATGACTACTTTTATTTTATTGTTAAAGAACTTCACAGGATTTTAACAATGCTAATAATTATTTCTAATGACTTACTGAAAATCTTTTGAAGGGTGGAGACCCAGGCCCGACTCCTGAATAGGAGTGAACCAGTGACACCAGCGTGTCAATAAGGGTATTTGGACATTATTCCCACAGGTTTCAGTGTGCAGTTTCAGGTCTTTTTCTATAGAACTCAATGGCTATTTATATAAATCCTGCTCACATTCTGAGAGAAAATATGGTTGATGGGTGTAACCAAGAAGACAAGCCTCCCTCTGGAAGATGTCTTTGTCTATACCCACCCAGTGTTTAATCATATTTGTTCTCCCAATTAAATTCCATTGCCTTTCCTCTCTATCTATAGAATCTATAGAAAACGACTCTGAACTGAGCACATACTGTATCTAGTGGAACATTTTCACCGGTTCAACAGTAAGAAATGATCAAATTGTCCCACTTATTTATCTGAAAACTTACCAATCAAGGTAAATAATTTAAATCTGTCCAATTGACTTAGTTTGTGTTTAACTAAAATTAGTTAGTTTAACTTAAAATTGTTAATGTTTTATTGACTCGTAACTGTAATAGATAGTATAGACGTGATAAATCTGTGTTTGTGTGTATCATATTGCGTTGTTACTGTCAACACAGCAATCTAACTTGTATTACTATTTGCTTCTACTGTTAATTTTGTTACATGCGTTGCCGACCAACTGAATGACCATCTTCTATGTGACGCCTATTGATTAACCGTTAATAACATATGAAGTATATACAGTACATATTCATAATATGCATTATATATGTGTGTATACAGGTATAAGGGCAAGAGATATTAAGTTTCTGGTTTTACTGGAATGGCCTCAAACGCGCAGTTATCCGCAGCACCGTGATAGAAACCACAAACGTACCCTGTGTGCGGCTGTCGGCTGCGGCTAACAGGCCATCAACAGGAGGTTTTATTGACCGTCTCCAGGCGCCTCAGTGGCGCCACTCACTCAGACGACCACCGCCAGTTAGCCGTGCGAGCTAACAGCTAACAGTGCTGCAACAAAGCGCAACCCGGCAGCGTAGCGAGACAGCTGCCTTAAACTTCAGAATTAACAAATAAAATAACAACCACTTACCTGGCACAGCTGCGAACTTGTCTCTAACTCATCATGTAGTGCTTCAGAATCCGTTTCATTCGGTCAATATATCGTTATTGGTGTAAATACAAGAATATCAGTGGCAGACAGTAAGACCACAGCCCTGCCCACTCACTGGCAGCAACTCGCGTTTTCATACGCGTGACATCACCCAAAACATAACCACCCGGTGCATTGTGGGGCGCAGAGTCATCTGGCACGAAGACTGAATTTTACACAACACCATTGACATTACTTCTGTAACGAGAGAGCAAGAATAACGCATTTCTATTTCTCCTGTACACCGTAACATTATGTTAAATTATACAAAACACACGAATGTTAAAAAATAATTTGTTAGAAAATAGAATATACATATTCAGTGATGTTTTATTACTTATAACAGTCTAGAATAGCGGTTCCCAAACTGTTTTGACCGTGCACCCTTTTTTACATCCCAACCAGAGAGAGACAACCCACTTCCCCACACCATCAAGAGAGAGAAGAGAAAAAGATTTATCACAAGATTTATCACACACACACACATGTTGACGTGTTTCGTCTCTGGTTTCCACATTACATTAATTTTGTTATACTTTTTCAGTGCGTCTTTGTATTTTGAATGCAGTTGTTCATGTTAACCACTACTTCACAACTAAAGGGTGTTAAATAAATATTTGGTGGTGACTGATGGTTTTTGTGTTAGTTTAAAAGCAGTTTAAACAGGCTGGTTAAAATTGACCGGGAAGTAAGGGGTGTGGGGTGAACACGACAGGAGGGTTAAGGCAAATGAGTGCATTTTTGAGAAACTTTAATTTTTGAAGACTTTTTCAGGAAATTATTAGTATTTACTTTGAATTTAATTTAATTTTTTTTTATTTTAACCACAAAAATGGACATAGTGTCACGTGTAGACATGGCAGGAAGCATGCAGGACCCAAATGCAGTACTAGAGAGTCTGTTTTCAGGTGTACAAGGCCAGGAACAAGGCATAAACCAGACAAGGCATGAACTACAAAGTACAAACTAGGAACTCGAAGCATGGGAGACTCCAAAGCGATTTGTGACTTTTTATGATTGTCTCCAAAAATGGGAGGTGTGGTCCAAAAGTTTGGAGAAAAACAACAACTAAAAGGGGGCATGAGGGGACTGGTTAATTTAATTCTTGCTACAGATACTGTAAATGGCCCTGAGCGTGTGACGGTGTACTTTAGAGCGTGTGACGGTGTACTGTGTGACGGTGTACTTTAGAGTCTTTAGAGTGTGTGACGGTGTACTTTAGAGTGTGTGTGAAGAAAGAGAGAAGTGTATCCAGTGGCCGATGTGTTTTCCATCCACTGGCTCCTGTGGCCGTGAACAAAAGCCTGTGCTGTTTATTCTGCCTCAACCTGGGCCTTCAGTCTCAGGTGATTGGGACCAGGACTGGGCCAGTATCTGTGCTCCACCATCGTGGCTCCAGGACAGAGACACATTGTCCACAGCTTTTTTTAATTAAAGACCACAGGTTGACACTCTGTGCCAGGTGACCTGGAGTGATCCGAGCCTCCGTGTGCCCAACACCGTCCTCTCCACTGGGGATAAGTCTCAGTGGATAATTAGAGAGGGAAATGCAATACAGTTATCATGAGATGAGATGGAGGTAAGGATTATCTTCTGAGGAGGGGACTGGGGAATAATGTGATGTTTTCTTCTTTCCATGTCCAGCCCACCTGCCTCACCCCCCACGTGTCTCTCTCTCTCTCTCTCCCTCTCTCTTTCTCTCTCCCTCTCTCTCTCTCTCTCTCTGAGTCTCAGGACCAGGTTATAAGAGAGGGAGGAGGAAGCCTAGTGACTTTTTTCAATGACATCAAGTTGTTCATCTCTTATTTTGTACTAAATAGGATTTTCCAGAGTCAACATGGAGCATCCAGACTCCAGGATCTTGGTCTCTTTACTCCTTCTTCTTCAGCTCCTGTCCGTCAGCAGTATCCCAGGTCAAAAAACAACAGGTGAGATGTTTGATATTTGTTGATATATTTACTGATACAGCCCTGAATTCAACCATGAACTAATGTAAGCTGTGGTTCACAGTCACCTGGTGTGTGTTGTCTGACGCTGAAGAGCAAAAGTGTCTGGACTTGGCTGGAAATGCCACAGCTCTGAATATTAGAGGGACTTTGCAATGTGTTCGTGGCCTGGACACCAGAGACTGTATGGACAAAATCAAGGTAAAGAAAAAACGTAATAATAAATAATGGCAGAGAAGTAGAGCGTCTGTATCATCAGTTGCAGAGATCAGTCAGCCTTCTTTGATATTGACGTTTATTTACGTGTTTCCCCTCAGAATGGAACAGCAGATGCAGCCTCCATGTTTGCAGATGACATTTACGCCGCTGGATTCTGTCACGGACTGGAGCTGGCTGCAGGCGAATCACACAACGGAGTTGGTTAGCAAAAAGAGCATTACTCAGAACAGCAATGTAAATTGTTGTCACTAAGCTAAAAGTTAGCGAGCAAAGCTAAACCATAAAATGTAAAAAGCTATTTTTTTAAAGTCAGTCAAACATGTACAAATACAGGTTAACGTTATTTCAACATTGCTGAGAAATTGTTGACACCAAAATACTTAGCAAAGAAGCAAAATTGCTAAATGCTAATCAAAAGTTTTACAACCTAAAGATAGATGACTAAATGAAAGTTTAGGTTTATATAAACACAGCTTAAAGTTTTCACTAATTGTCTTGTTAACTTTTTATTTTTCTAAATCTAAATAAATTCTATTAAATTCTAAATCTTTAATTGCACTTGTCCCTTTAACAGGGGAAAAACACTGAAATGTTAGCATGCAGTTAGCATTCCGTCACACTGTGCACAAATAGTAAATAAAATCTTTTTATATTATTTATTTGGATATTATTGTATCTGATTATGCTGTAACAATTCCTGATGGACTTCACCTGTTCATTTTATCAGATGGAATTAGCTACTACGTGGTGGCGATGGCTCGGAGCTCGTCTGCAGACCTCTCCCTGCTGGAGATGCATGAACGCAGCTCCTGTCATCCTGGTATGAGGACCACCGTGGGCTGGACCGTTCCTATCGGCTACCTGGTCAACACCTCCCAGATCAGCGTAGGGGAGCAGTGTAACTTCCCCAGAGGTAAGACAGAGTTCCACAAAGATTCAGGGAAAAAAAGTGGTGTGTGTTGAAGTGATGTGTAAGTCTTTGTGTAGATGGTATATGAGAGGTTTGAGAAGGAGGAGGAGCAGTAAGGTGGAACGAAGGAGGCGAAGGGTAAAAGGGGAGCAGAGGAAAGAGGAGATAAGCAGGAGTCGGTTACAGAACAGTGCATCGCTCTCTGTGAATGTGAGACTCAAAAGTGCATTTGTGGGAAAGAAAGAATGAAAGAGGTTAGTGTTATATAAGAAGAAGTCACATTCATTGGACTGGAAGATCCTGAGAGAGAAATTATAAAGAAATGTCAAATTATCCCTGAAATGATCAAATAAAAGAATTAACAAATGTACATGTACATGAGAAGTAAAGCAAGGGAGAATGATCAGTAGAACAAGGGAAAAAGTCTGATAAAAAGTTTGATAAAAATGAAAAGTCAGTAGAAAGCCCTTCTTATTCTGTCTTGTTTCCTGATTTACTCTCCTTAATTGTCCCCTAGCTGTGGGAAACTTTTTTGGTTACAGCTGTGTGCCAGGGGTCAAGGACGCCCAGCATGACCCCAGAGGCATGAACCCCAGAAATCTGTGTGAGGCCTGCATCGGAGACGAGAACGACCGGCATATCTGTGCCAGCAACCGCAGAGAGAGACACTACGGAGAGTCTGGAGCGCTTAGGTACAACGACACAAGAACGCTGTTCTTTTAAAGCTGTTGGACATATACTGTATATATATATATATAAATCAAGAAAAACTTAAATATTAACAATTAAGCTGAATGACATCTTAAAGGGTGGTAGTGAGTCACTTAAAGTTAACCAAAGAGCAGTTAAATAACAATTAAGCTGAATGACATCTTAAAGGAAATGTTAAATGTTAGCATAGAAACTGGCAAAAGGCAAAAAATAACCTCCTAGAGATAACTAATAATTTGCCAGTGACCTGCTAAAAGAAACAGAAATGTAGACCAATTATATAAAAGTCAGGGAAGATTTTGAAGTTATTCAAACCTGTTTGAGAGCCACAATTGGTCCCCAGGCCAGACTCTGGTCCTTTTTGTAATAAAGTACTGAACAAGCATTAGCCGTTATGAATCCAATAAGAAGTGTTGAAGTCCTATAGAGCAGTGGAACAGATTATGTACTTTCACAGAAGCTGTTAACACGTCCAGTGGTCATTTCCTCTGAGCTTCGAGTGCCTTTAACGGCAATTTGACTTCTTTCCTGCCTGTAATAATTACACACAGCTGACTCACAGTAGTTCACATCCATATAACCGTGCAGTAAACTAGCCTTAGGTTTAATCCTTAATGTGTAAAAGAGGGAAATAAGAGCTCATTTTCTTCACGCTCTATAATAGCAGCACAGAGAGTCAACTCTGCTAACATACTGCTGGTTTATTTATTTAAATTCTGAAGTCATTCTAAATGAAACCCATCTCTCTGTGTGTGTTTATTTTTTTCCACAGGTGTGTGGCTGAAAACCTGGGAGACGTGGCCTTCGTCAAACACACCACAGTCTTTGACAACGTGGACGGTCAGTGTTTGACAAATTCTTAAGATGATCTTAAGTTTTTTTGGTATGAAACTTCCAGGAGTCTTAGTTAGCAAGTTAGCACGCCTTTAGCAACAGGAGTCTGTTAGTGAAAACAAGGAATAATTCCATATTCTTTCTTGACAATAAGCTAAATGTAAACAAAAACAACGAAAATAATGACAAAGGGAGAAGAAATTACGGGTTTGGTTAGAAAAGGTTAGGTAACTCTGGCATGAGGTAAATAAAAAAGAATCTGTCAATATGAGCTGGAGGCGGTTTTCAGATGAAAACATGCTAACAGTCTGATTTAGAGTACAGTTAAAGTACAATTCTCATTGTTTTAAAACGCTCATTAATAGGTGTTGTTTAAAGTTTGTTTCTTTTGAAAATGTACAAATGATAGACGTTAAGATGAAAAAGTCACCGGCGCTAGTGTGCTCGTCAACGGCTGACCACACGGTGTCAGTGTTTGACAATATTTCTCAGCGTCACAGCGTCCGTTAAAATTCATAATATGATGAAACCAGGAAAAAAAGGTGATTTTTATGCAGAGTTTAATCTATGTCTGTTCGTAAATTATAGATAAGCAATAAGGAAAACGAACTAAGAATTAAGGAGAAAAAAAGGAGGGATAGATAAGCAATAAGGAAAACGAACTATTAAGGAGAAAAAAAGGAGATAAAAGTAGAAGGAGACTGAACTGCGTTTGTGTGTGTGTGTGTCTGTGTCTGTGTATGTGTATGTGTGTTTATGTGTGTGTATGGACATGTTTTGGCCAGAAAAGCACCGATACCTCACACAGTGGCATCTGCTCCTTAGCTGTGGGCCAAATCCAGAATGAATGGTGATCATTATCATAGTCATGCTACACAGAGTCTGCTGGTCCTGCTGAGAAGGAGCAGTCTGAAACCAGCTTTAGCCGTTCAACCAGGCAGGGTGTCTCATATGGTTCAGAAATGTCTGGAGTCAGAGCTGGGAGCAGTCAGTCAGTGCTGTTTGATGCTAAAGAATTTAGGGTCAATTTTTTATTTTAAACTATAACTTATAAAGTATCTTAAGAATTAAACAACATTGAAAAAAATACAACTATGTTAAAATCAGGTGCTGCATTTTGTGCTAGAGTGGTTAATGTTCTTGCCTTACTGCATGAAGGTCGCTGGTTCAATCCACAGCCTAACTTACTAACTAACATTCTGTATGGAGTTTGTATGTTCTGCCTTTGAGAGTTTTCGTTGGCTAAGCCACTTACCTCCAAAAGTCAAAAACCAGCAGAGACCTAGCTTGAGACAATGTCCTAAGTCTTAACTTAGACTCTGACTTTCACTTAAAACAATTGATGACTTAGAGGACTTAGACTTGTACTGAACTGATTTTGGACTCAACACTACAACAGTTGGGACAAGATGGCCAAACGCCAGGGCTGGACGGTGATCATGTCATTGTTATAATTAGTGTTAACTCGTTTATCCTTTATCTCATTGGTTCATTTCGACATGTCACGCTCTCTACTCCTCTCCTGCTAAGGTAAGAACCAGGAGTCCTGGGCCCTGGACTTGGAGCTAGACGACCTGAAGCTGCTATGTCCAGATGGTACCGAGGCGGGTCTGCACGAGCACAAACGCTGCCACCTGGCAGCTGTCCCCGCCAATGCTGTGGTGGTGAGAATGGAGGACAAGTGTCGCGTCTGGAAGTTCCTGGAACGTTTACAGGTGGGCTGGAGAAGGCAGTATGTCTCACAGCTGTAGCGAGACTCAAGTGTATCTGTGAATATTTGTCCCATATGGAGTGTGGGTTATTGATCTGGAGTGAGATATCTGCTAACACAGTCTACCTGCCCTCTTTATGACTGTTAGTGTGTGGAAGACGCCAGGATGACTGATACCCTCTGTGATGACACCAGGGGGCAGGGGTTAGCAAGATGCTAATGACAGATCACCATAGAATATTTCAACTTGTCCTTGAAACTCAGGTGGCAGTTTTTTTAATGTCCCTGTAAAATAAAAGTCTACAGAAAAAGTCTAATGTTGTTTGCCATGTGGGGCATGTTGTCAAGGCAAACAAATATTGATCAGATAGTTGGTGAGCTGAAAGATAAAACAATAAGAGATAAAGTTGAAGATATGTAAACAAAAGTTTTCTTTTTAAATTTGGACATAAATTCGGAAATATCAGTAAAAAATATCTGTAAAATTGCAAAGAGTTGAACAAAAATAAAAAAAAACTCTAAATGATCACGAATGTAATTAAGAAAATGCCAAGAAGTAGATCAAATAGATAAAAAGATTCAGGTTAGCTAAAACAGTTGTTCAATGTTAGCTTCAATACTGAAAAAAAAAAAAATCACGTTTTCAAGAAGCAAAAAAGTTTGTTCAAAACAATTGGCAGATTTTCCGATCCACACACTCCGTGGCCTCACATGACCGTGAGAACATGTGCACACCACGTGTACGCCCACACACACCCCACATTCGGTGTCATCACACACACACACCTCTGTCTCCTGCAGACTGCGTTTGGAAACTCCACTGAAGGCTTCCGGATGTTCGACTCAACAGGCTACGGCGGAACTGATCTGCTCTTCAGCGACGCCACCCACCACCTGCAGAGGGTGCTGGGTAGCTACACCTCCTGGCTGGGCTCCACATACACCACCATGCTGCAGGCCTTCGAGTGTGAGGGTGAGCTTGTGTGTGTGTGTGTGTGAAGTGTATTTACCTGCTCTGTGTGTGTTTTCG